TCCTTGAAACTCCTAACATCCGTTCTCTATAAGAATTCATTTGCCATTCTTATACTTTCATACAGGTAAAAACTGAACTAATCGTTCAAAGAGGAACATAAAGGATTGTTGCTATTTTTTGACCTTCAATCTTGGTAAATATTCATCAAATTAACGATTTCTATCTTGGAAAAAAGGTTTTTATCAAATAACAAAAGAATACGATTTTAAGTTTATTTATATACAATTTCATGTGAAATTAATTATATTTGTATTAAAGTGTGTAATATCCTTTAATTTTTTTTTATTATGTTTGTTAAAACTTAAAACATATTTAAAAAAGAATTACAAAATATTTGTTCTTATGATCTAAATTGGTATCCTAAGTATTTTCTATATTACTTGGTACATATGACCTACACTTTAATTATTAGTTTAATTAAAACAAACATATTTTAGTCTAGATTAGTTTACTTTCACTTATGACTTAATACCATTGTTGACATTTTTTTTTCATTGTTCATTTTTGCAAACTCATGATTTCACTCACTCTCACAATTTATTTTTGATAGGTACATATGTAATTTTAAAAATTCTTCAAAATGTTAAAAGGCTTTTTGAACAAAATTTGTATTTTTTTATACTACCATTAAAACATCTTTCCATGACACTAAGTGTCCTTTGGCTTTATGGTCTTTTAGGCACGGGCTGAAGTTAGCAACAGGTTTTTAGTCACGGGCTGAATTTTTAGGGTTAGATTTAAAATTTTACAATTTTGCCAACATATAGTCGCTAACAACACTTAAACCAATTGACTTCGCTTAGTAAAATTTTAAATGGCGTTAAACTCAATTTTTATAAAATATTAAATTTGAAAATTACCCAAACACAACTGTCACTTTTTGTACGTTTAACATTTCCCGAGTAAGAATTTTTAATACTTTCTGTTAATATTTTGCAATTATAGTAATAAAAAAATTAAAGGATGACATATTTTTTAACATAATCATATTTTAAAGTTATTTGAATAAAAAACAAGTTTGCTGTTGCAATTCAATTTTAAATATCTTGAAAACGAATGAATAGAATTTGGCCATTTTTTTCAAGAAATCGTTATTTAAATTAAATGATATTTTAAGACTATTTAATTATGTAAGTTTTTAAATTTATTTATTTAGTACGTAAGTCATATATTTATTTTAAACCGTTATTTTTTAATTTAAACCATAACAAAAAAAAATGATGGGGTTCTGAAAGTGGTTTTCGTTTCTCCTATCCAAAGTATGCCTTTTTTCGTTTACAGAATGTTTAGATTGATTCAGGTTTTTTTTATATCGATTTTAAATTTTATTAATTTTGGAACCCAAAAAACCGTTATTTATTAATTTAAACCAATTAACTGGTAGGAAATTATTGTCATAACAATAAATTAAAAATAAATAATAAAAAAAATAACAAAAATTAAAAGAGGTTTGATTCGATGTTGGCAGATTTTTGTTGGTCAATGGCAATGGAAATTTTGGCATAAAATAATAAATAAAATTTGTTAAATCTTTTATGTTGATTCATTCTATTTCTTAAAAAGAATATGTTTTAATGATTAATATAATAATAATAATAATAATAATAATTACCATAATTATTATTATGGTAGAAGAGAACGAACTAAGAAATTACACTACAACATATTAATTTTTTTTTTGTTCTCATTATTTTTTTATTTAATTTTTTTTTTTATTTGATTGTTATTACTTTATAAAACAATATAGGTACAAAACCAATAATTATCTTTTATATACTAATTATTTATTATTTTACGATAGTTCGGGATCCAGAATTACTAAAACTTTAAATTGATATTAAAAAAAAACAGAATCAATCTCATTCAGAAAATGTTGCACAGAAAACTAGGTATAGTGTTCCGTGGGCACCCGCTTTGACCAGAAAAAAGCGAATAAAAAAATGTCGGATATTTTTATTGGTGCTTTATTTTTGGGGAGGTAGTGCCCTATTGGTCGGGTTAAATATGGCGGCTGGCAAGTTGTTCCATACTAGTTGTCGGTTGCCGTGTCGATTGAAGCAAGACCACTTTCACTTCCCTACAAAGCTAAGACCTTGAAGGTTTCAAACAGGTAAAATCAGTCTCGAGGACATTCAAGCCAACACAAAACGATTAATTACTTAATACAGCGAACGCTGTATTACGCCATTTGATATTTATGTACCTCACATCATCATATATATTTTTTTACAATTATTGTTTTTCTTGCTTTCAGAGAAAATAGCGGAGCTTAGGTAGGTACCAACCATAAGCAACTAAATACCAAGTTCTTTAACCAAATCCAATTGGATTTATATACCTATATATATACATAAAGTATATATAAAGCTAAAAATGGTGTTTATTATTCAAATTTACTGAACTAAAATATTTCTTGATATGTTTTTTAATATTTCTTCACGTCCATTAAATATGAACTTCTACCTACTGTAATAAGTAAAAGTTTTTTTAGTATTTTAATATTTCATAAAAGAAACATTTCCATAAACATATTTAACACTTTTAATACACTCACAGGCAAAATAATCGATTCACACAAATTTTCGATGAATTTCAATCGCAAAAAACTTTTTTATTTGATGTCGGATTTAAACGAATATTAAAGAATATTGTAGATAAATTAATGGACAATCGCTCACATTTTAAAAAAATACTAAAAAATAGACGTACGTTTATAATATACAGGTTTAAACAAAAAGATGTTTTTTACCATAAGTTTAAGACACTCTGTGTATATTGTTCTAAATTAAGTTTTATTTATCAAGTCACATCTATTCTTAACAGTTTTGTTTTTGGTTCACCTCGATATATTAATTTTTGTGAAAATATTGATTAAAAAAAAACAATGCAATTTCCAATATTTTTCTCTATGAAGAACTAAGGTTGCTATGGTCCATCCATATGCTATGGAGAATGACAGTGACAGTTTTGTTGAATCATCCCATATATATATATATATCCGAAATCAAATAAAAAAGTTATTTGCGATTGAAATTCATCGAAAATTTGTGTGGATCGATTATTTTGCCTGTGAGTGTATATTATATTTAATTAAATGATTTATTGCTTAATTTAAGTAAATATGTCATTAACTTAACACTACAATTTTGATTTAAAGTAAAAAAGTAATATATTTATTTAACGTAATTATTACGAAAAAAAAATACTCTATAAAATTAATTTTACTCATAACATAACTCTATGCTCATAATTTATGTTTTCTCTAAGACCACTTTATAAAAGTCAAATAAAACTAAAAGGGTACTACACAAGTTAGTTGACAGTTGTCAAATGTTATACAATCGTTAAAATAAAGTGCCTTTTTTGTAAAATAATACTAAATATGAAAATTATTTTATATCTCAATACAAAAATACAAAAGTATTCAATAGTTTCTTGATGCCATTTATATTATATTATACTGACCTTTTGATTTCCCCGTAGTAGATTTAACTAATAAAGCGTTAAAAACTTGCGAATAGTGCCCATAAAACATTCTCTTCTCTTTTACTGTGAAAAACTGTTTCTATATAGATTGTTAATCTATTTTCAGAGAATAAATTTGGATTTATCCAGAAAAATTTAGATTCCCAAGTTAAAAATTCGAACGGGAATTCCAATTAATACAACTGTCACTTTTTGTACCTTTAACATTGTCCGTGTAAGAATTTTTAATACTTTGTAATAATATTTTGCAATAATAGTAATAAAAAAATAATATAATATAAAAAATAATATTGTCGCTTTATTCAAATATTTAATTTAAATCATTTTTTAGATAATATAATAAGTATTTGTCGTAGAAAAAGTATAGTATAAACTTTTTTTGGTACTAATTTAATTAAGCACTTGCTTGCAAGTTCGCTCGTGCCTAAATTAAATTCGTGGTTAAAATGGCGTTTATCAAACCTGATACAAAATATGCCATTTTAATGGAACCTTCGTTACGTCCCTGTTTATAATTCTAATAGGTAGCCATTAATATGATTTTTTTAAATACATATAATTTTAATTTGTTTTAAAATATCAAGGTTTTACTTGGAAAGTAAAAAATACATCATCTAATAATAATTTATTTATTAAGTAGACATAAAAATAATGTACAGGAAACTTGCATTAGAAAAAGCTTCAATTAGTAAATTATGGTTTACTTAATTAGGGTAATAAATTTGTTAATTAAAGTACCAAATATGGGGGGATATAAATTTTAGTTAAAAAGACAAAAATATGAAAAAAGTTTATGTAATGCATCGATTAATAAAAAAAAAATAAGATCATTTAAAATGAACATGGTGCGTGTAAGTTTCGGAGGTCCAGACAGCTGGATGTTATGCGATAGTGAAAGTAACGTTATGGTTACTTTCCCTTGCATTATAACGTAATTCGACATAACAATAGATTACACAGGCACTGTGTGGCGCTTGTGATATTACTAACAATATTCTGTGTAGGATTTATGACACATAATTGTTGCGAGTAAAAAGTAATTTTTTGTTCACTCCAATTATGCAGAGAATTTAGTTGAGTGGATATAGAGTCGGCAGTGGCATTATCAAGAGTGGTTCCCCCTCTAGATTCGGGTATTGTGAAAGTGAAGTCCAGTTGGCCCCTGTTAGGGCCCCGCAAAGCCTTGGATAAGTCGGTGAAAGCAATTGCTTGCATTGCCTATTACAAGGCCCTGCAAGCAAATAGGCGAGCAGCGTCGTTGTAGAATAATAAGACGCGGAGAGTAGCAGTTTAAACTGAAAGTAGGCTCGGTGGCTTAGGTTTGACTAAATAAACATGCCGCGGTGTGAGCAAGCAAAAAGTTGATTAAATATCGCGCAGACGCCTGCTCATTGCGACCTTGAAAGCAGAGAAAGAGAAGTTGCGAGTGAGCGAGCAATAGGAAAAAAACTTGCACGGTGGTGGGGCGAATCGAGAGAGAAAAGAGGGGAAAGTAAAGGGAGAAATTAAGAGCTAGTAGTATTATGTCTGATCCCGTGAGCAAAGTTGATGTTGACTATTTGCACCGAATTACAACAAACTACCATCATCGGGGGTGGCAGTGCGCTCGTGTGACGCATTAAGAACTCGAGGCTTCAGGATTTCAGGACACCGCTACGCAACACACAACATTCTCAACGGTTTTGTTCGCTGTTGTTTCTCTTCATTCACTTTTACTTTCATTTTCGAACCGCGGCCGCCGCAACGTAACCGACTTGTTATTATTTATGTTACCGTTCGATCTCTTCGGTGCTGCCGTATCATCGTCAAATTTGTGCGAATCTAATGTGTACGAGGTGGAGCCATGGCTCATTGTGTTGTTGGTGCAATTTATTTATTTCTACGTGTTTACGCTAGAGGATACCCTAGGGATTACACCTTATAGGACTACCAACATTCTTCGAGTAAGTTCAACCCTTCAAATCAAAGCTAAATTTATTCTCGAGCGCTACAAGTTTTGCAACCTGTTGCGTTCGCGCTATTTCATTTCATTTGTTACGTGAACGAAATCGCGCACTATTTCAGCGCGCCTCGTGCCATTCTTTACTACTTTCAGTTTACCACTTACGTAACTGCATTTTTTACTATTACAACACATTCTAATATTTTATTTCATTATTATTATTATTTGAATCCCTTTTGACGGTATTTATAAATAATTGAAAAACCTTGAGACAATACACGACTGAATAGTATGCAGAAGTCGTCTATATGGAATGCAAAACATAATGTGTTGTAAATTAAGGCGAACACCTGTATGAAAAGGCGTGTCCGAGCAATACAAATTAAGCTACTAGCGTCTCCATACAAGAATGCTGTTTACCTTTATAATCATTTATATCGACCACAAACCACACGACAGCGCAGCGTCGTTCTAATACTTTGTTCAATGATTTAGGTTGTCCCTTAGTAAATTACCAAATCCGCCATGTACTCGGAAGAACAGGATTCTCACGGCTTATTAACCTTGCATTATGGGAAACATCATGCCACAATAGTCGATGAGATTAAAACCTGCTTTACATCGGAAAATTTCGCTGACATGACCTTTATTTGCGATGATAAGACAACGTTAAGCGCGCACAAACTGATAATGGCTTCGGCGAGCCCTTTGGTGCGGCGAATCCTCGGCGAAAGCGCCCATGCTCACGGGCCCAGCGTAGTCCTGATGCCGGGAATCAAAAGTTGCCACCTCCGACACCTCCTCGATTTTCTATACAACGGACAAGCCTGCATCAAGGTAATTTCGAAATCAAACAAGCAATGCTTTTAAGACAACCATTTCACCGTGCTTTCAGTCCAGCGAGTTGAACAGCATCCAAGAGCTGTTCGAGCTGCTCCAAATCAAATCTGACATGTGGCAGTCTTCTTCGACGGAAGAGGCCAAAAGTCAGTCGGAAGACAGCAGCAGCTGGACGCCACCAGCTGACAACAACGATCGCGTGCTGGTCAAAAGGGAAACGGACGACGACGAGAAAGAAGAGGGCGAAATCAAAGACGACGATGAAGAGGACACCGAAGACAATTTGCTCGATGAAAGCAACAATGGATCTCCGAACCCCGTTAACTTATCCCTCAACACCAAAACTGACGAAGACAAAGAAGAATACGATCATAAAAACGAGGTGAGTCGGCTTTCAACTTTTTAAACCAATTGCCTTAAAAATTATCGCCTCATTGTTAAATTTTTATGGAATATACATATTTCAAATTTACTGCCTATTATGTTCTATTGCTTAAGTTATCTGATTACTTTCAATCATTAAATTTACCACGCTGTTAAATTTCCTAATTATTTATTAATTGATTGTACAACTTTGGTGATATGTGAATATTAGAAATATTCCCCAACACCAAGACGCACTTTGTGTTTTGGTTTGTTGTTGGGGAATATTTGTAAGTTGATAAAATAAAATGTTTGTTCAATTAGAAATCTGAACAAAAGAGCCCGGATGTGTTGAAAATAGGTCAATCGACGGTAAAAATAGCACCCAAAGTCCATGAATTCCATCACCATAGAATGAAGCGAAAAAGCGTGTACATCGAGCCGATAGATTTGAAACATCAAGAAGAACTGGCGCAATTAAAACCCCCGATAGCCGAGCAAAAGTTGATGTCGCTCGTCCAAAGCCCCGACAATTACGTGGTGACGCCGCACAGAAAACGCCGACCGGGATTTCACAACTCGCCGGCGCAAAACCCGCCGTTCGTTCCTTTCTCGCCATCGTACATCGAAGACGCCGGACATCCGCATCCGCATCCGCATCACAGGTACAAGAGTTTGCCGCCGCTGCTGGCCGCGCACCACCCCTTGTCCCTCTCGGCGCCGCCGTTTTTGGTGGACAGGACGCACACGCCGACGCCCGGCTCGCATCCCGACACCTCGTCGGCGCCCGATAACGTGGTGGTCAAGTACCGGCCGCCCAGCGCGGACCAGGGCCTCGCCTCCGAGACCTACCCGTTCGAGCACACGTGGGGCGCTTGGTCCTTCTGCAAGACGCAAGTGAACCCGCCGCCGGGCAACGAGGAACGAGATCCGCCTGCCTCCTTTTCCTCCAACGCCGTCGACGAGTCGGCCGAAAGTTCTTCGCACGCTACGGGCAGCAACAAGCAATCCCTCCCGGCCGTGCAAGTTCGCGAGTACCGATGTGAATACTGCGGCAAGCAATTCGGCATGTCCTGGAACCTAAAGACTCACCTTCGAGTTCACACAGGTGAAAAACCCTTCGCGTGTAGGTTGTGCGTGGCTATGTTCAAGCAAAAGGCCCACTTGCTAAAACACTTGTGTTCAGTGCATAGGAACGTTATATCCTCGAACGATGGAAACTCGGGACGTTTTAACTGCTGTTTCTGTCCTCTGTCCTTCGAATCTCTTCCCGAGCTCATAAGACACTTATCCGGGCCGCACAACAACCTGCTGCTCAGCAAGAACATGCACGAGCTCAAGTAGTTCACATTCCGTTCCCGGGACCATGACAACATCTTGGCATAATTGAGATGTGGCCCGGATTTTGTGATATGTTGGGCCAACAGTGCCTTTCCTGAATCTCTTGTGGACCTAGAGTAGTTACCCTCAGGGATGTAGTGAGTAGATTTTTAGTCCCAGGGTGAGGCACACTGCTGCGAGACCACTTTTGCGTTAGGGTGAATTCACATCAACCTCTATATGCAATCACTTAAGGTAAGATTTATTTTTCTTCTTCTTTTAACGGTTTAATTAAGTTTGAGTATAGATTGAATTAGCACTTGAAACTTAATTATTGTATTGATTGCATATAGCGGGTTGTGTGGAGAGGCAATACCTAATAGTAATTATATTGTCTAGACATAATATCAACCGATGTGTTCAATTTGACTTACGTACCTATGCCACTTGTCATGTATATAAAGGTTTTTTCGGCTGGTTCGAAATTCGTTTGTTATACACATTACAAGTAGTACATAATGAGAAGTGTCCTTAATAACGTCGTTTTTTGTTAATAAATTAATCAGACCGGTTTTGTGTTTCTTAATTGCCGAGCAGTCTGTTTCACTTATTAATAATTACAATAACCAGAAATGCTGGACAAAGGTAGTGCCAACTTCAAATTTGACCATGTACATTATTATTAAATTATTTTTTATCTAGACAAGCATTTTTAGTTTTTGTATTAAATACAAATTACTGTACATTATTGTTTATATAGTTTTTACTATAGAACTCAACATACGATCGTATATTTTATTAATATACACACCAAAGAACTAAAAATTAGGTTGTATTACAATAAAAAATTTCGTTTATAGTTTATGTTAACTTATTCATCTCTACTCTTGCTCTCAAACTATAGTTACAGTGACACATTGGCATGCCCGGGTTAAAGCCCTATATTATTATCTAGAACTATTAAATGCAATCTGACATAATCAAAATGTGATGTTTTCGTAATTTTGTGATTTGAAAAATAGCTTAATGTGATAAAAAAATTTCGGGCGTGCCAATGCTACAATCTAAACTGAAGATGGTTTTGGTTCAAAATTTGCTAAATTAAATTAATTAGATTTTCCATTAAATTGCTTTTGCACACTTTGTTTATAAGGTCAGAATAATTCGCACTTTTTAGCAAAAATTTTGAAAAATCTTTTTTTCTTTACGAAACTTGGTACAAATGAGGTAACTTAGTATTTTGTTAGATTTGTAAAATGTAAATAAATAGATTTGTAAATAGTGTATTTAAGTAAATAAATCAGTTTTTTTCTTGTACTTTTATTATACAACTATTCTCATCCATGGGCGTACAAACTCATTTTTTTCATGGGTGCCAAACAAAATGAATTAAATTTGTACTCGGATTTATATATTAATTTGGCAGTTTAACATTTGTGATAATCTCAATGCAATAGAGTCTTTTTTAGTTTACCATTATTGTAACAAAATGTGATTTTTTTAATTGAAAGAAACACTATTTAATTGCTCTTTTTATTAGTTGATTTTTTATAGAAAAATTAAAATTAATAAAAAATATAAACAAATATATTTGTTTTCAAGACATTGTTTTAATCAAAATTCCTTACAAAAACAATCAAAGCATCATGAAAGGTAAGCCACAAATATTTATTCTCGTTTAAAAAGAAAAATTGGTAATAAATTTATTTTCTTGGAACCACTTTTTCAATGATTCATTTAATGGTTTAAAAATTATGTCATGTTATTTCCAATGTAAATTAGAATTTAGAGTTGCACAGATGTTTTAAATGTTAATAGTAAAAGTAAAAGTGATTTTAAACAGACCCCTCCATCTGTTAAACACTTCTAGAACTAAACAACACAACCAAGTTCAGATGTAATTTTTTTTTAACGCAGGTTTCTAGGTGAGCGGCGTCAAAGCTTTTACCAACTCTTGTAGGTGTCGCTATAGCATAGATAATTCATATATTCATATACTTACCACACATATATCGCTTATTCTTATATGTTGTTCCTTTTTTGAGGGGAAATTTTTCGATTTGACGTATCATTTTACCTAATGCGCATTGTCAGTTCATAAGTGAGGGATTTAAAATATATAATACCATAGACATAGTAATACAGTAAATAAAATTAAGGTTATATTATTTGCTTACATCGCCTAGGTTAAGTTCACATACATTTTTGCGGTTATAAAAAGCAAAAAGTGGCATATTATGTAAAAGCCACTAAAAACACAATGGGAAAAAACAATTCCAAAACAATTGGTGTACAACAGAAAACAAACAAAATAGTTAATTATAAAAACCATCTAAAGTCTATTCAAATCCAAGCTGGACTAAACAAAACCGCCCAGATGGGTGATAACTCGTTTCTATTGGTCGATTCTGATGGTGTGACTCGGATTGTGAGCTCTTATTGGTCGATTCGGAGGATTGTGTTTACATTTATTCCAGCTTGGATTTGAATAGACACATATTAGTATGTCTATAATAAAAACCTTTTTGCTATCGTGGTTAAAATACGACGTTGCCAAATTTTGCTGTTATAAACATGCCATTATAAAATCTATAATATTATTAATTTATGTGTTTATTATTGTTAAGTGCTTTTTTATACAATTTATTAAAAAGGATTTATTATACTTTCCAAATAGGGACAAAAATATGGTATTCACCCGTGTGGTTCTCACTTCCCCTACTTTAATCCCACGAAACAGTCTCAGTTAGAAATGATTTGTATTTATATGTGTGGAAGTATGCGAGATAATTAAGTACACATATGTATTTTATTATTATTGCTGTAAAACTATAATTAGCACAGCAATAAAAATTTAAATATATAGCTTCTGAATTTAAAATTAATAGTTATTTATGTCATAAGGCTATAGCCTGTGGCCCAGAAGATCTTATAAGATCTTCTGGGCCACAGGCAAAAGTTGCAATGTTTTTAATTTAAAGACAATTTTATTTTTTAAACGATAAATAAAGCTCACAACTATATATTATACGAGGTGTGTTCAGAAAATATTGGGAATTTTCGTTTTTTGAAACAATTATTTATTTATTCGTCTACATTAATGTTGTCGCCTTCAAAATAGTCCCCATTGGATATTATGCACATGTGCCAGCTGAGCTGGCCCAGCTCTTCTTCCAATACTCGAAACACTTCTAAAACTCGATCTTTGGGATAGCCTTTAGTTCTTTCAGCGATGCGCTTTTAATGTCATCTATGCTTGCAAAACGACGGCCCTTTAAGGTTCTCTTTATTTTTGGGAATAGGAAAAAGTCAGACAGAGGCAAGTCTGGCGAATATGGAGGCTAGGGCATCATTACAGTATTGTTTTTGGCCAAAAATTTTATTCAAAATTTAACAATTTTAGAACAAATTTTGCTGCCACGCGTTTCATACCCAAAACATTCTAAAAAATTTTATAGGATGAGCCAATCGATATACCAACATCATCAGCGACTTCTCTGATGGTTTATAACCATGTCTTCCACTTTTTCCATGTTTTTATCGGTTGTTAATGTGCTTGTGCGTTCGGGGCGTTCGTCATCTTCAACGTCTTCAGGGCCATCTTGGAAACTCTTATACCACTTGTAAACTCTTGTTTTACTTATAGCAGACTCACTATAGGCCTTTGTTAACATTTCACAGAATTTATTTTAGTTTTTAAGCAAAATTGGATACAAATTCTTTGATCCATTTCTTTTAACGAACGAAAAATCGCCGAGCTCATAAAACACGTCTAACATTAGCGGCTGCCACAGACAAAGTAAAAAATGAAAACAGCTAAAGTTTTTATCATACTTCGGGGGCATGTATACCAACATAATAAAGAAAATTTTATGACAACCGGACCCTCCGAACCCGCGAAATTTAACAATTCCCGTTATTTTCTGAACACACCTCGTATAGACCTAACGTAACGTATCTGATTTACCAGTCAACAAAATCAATTCGTCAGTATTGGTTCTATAATAGTATATTAAAGAACTTATGTCATAAGACGTCATTTTGTAATGGACGAGTGCGACAAAAGGTCTTATGACATGAGTTCTTTATGCTATTTTATCTATTTTGAAAAAAATCTATACCTTAAATTTAATTTGGCCGAATTTTACTTTAGATAGTTGGTATCACAGTCATTGGTTTGACAGTTAATGTCAAAATCGATTCGCCATGCCGTCCTTAATTTACTTATTTACAATAAGCGGCTGTTAATGTTAAAGAAGAAAAAAGGGATTTTATTTGGTGTTAAACAAAATTTATTGCCAGAAAAGTCTCGTAAGTACTAGAAAAATCATAAAAATATTATAACCAATATGCAAAATATTATGCTGTTTAAAGTATGAAATCAAAATTTTGGGTGGGATAAAGTAGGTATCTCATTACAGCTCCGAAAGCGGTGTTATAATGAAGTCATTATGAACGCAAAATAGATAAAATAAAGTTTTAGTAATAATTATTACATAAATAAAACAGTTTCTTAACATAATCATTGGTATGGGCCCCCATTTCTGTTTATTACTTTAAAACCAAATCAAACTGGATAAAGTGTTACAAAAATGGTGAATGCGCCTGCAAAATTTCTAATCAAATGTGCAAGTGGATAAATTAGTGTTTTTGGGTAAAATCACTTGATAAACGGTTTCATCAGGTTCATAAGGCCAAGAAAGGCCATTGCCTTTTGAAATCCATTAAAAGCACCGTTTAAGTTGAGTAAAAATAAATGAAATATATCACTAAAGCCTGTTTAATATTCAACGTCTCCTGAGTCATAAATTCTTATTAATTTCATTTTCATCTAAACGAAGTGGAAGTCGGATTCAAAACATAGCGGTTGTTCTCCAACATATATGCATATATATAAGAGCGATCTTCGCGTGTTTAATTCAAAACAGCAAAGACATGAAGACCGTTTACTTCTTACTATTGATCGTTGGTGTAGTAAGGGCCCAAATACCCTTGTTTGGGTTCTGCCCTGAATACCTTCCAATGGCGGATTTCGACATGGAGAGGTTTTTGGGAAAATGGTACGAATCAGAGAGATATTTCCAGTTCTCCGAACTCGCAAGCAGATGCGTCGTCACCGACTATGCCAGAGCTCCAAGTGGAAGAATCTACGTCTCCAATGAAGTCACCAACAGAATGTAAGTAGTTTTCACAACAAACTGGTTAAATAAGAAAAAATTGAACCTACACCTCGCCAAAGTTTTTTGTTTTTAATGCGTTCCACCAACTTCAATATATTGGGTCTCATCAGTGTCGGGCAACAAATGACTCCCTGAGCCTATATGTAGGTTCAATTTTTTCTTATGAATATTACCAGTAATGGGTCAAGAAAGTTTCTTAAAGAAACTAAGAAAATTGAATGTTAACTGGTTAAATACCTGGTTAATTGTATTTTTTCCAGTACTGGAGTTAAAAGAGTTATAGGAGGAAACTTGGAACTGACTGGAAAAGGGAACGAGGGCAAACTTAACGTCAAATACGCCACCACACCTTTACCAACGGAATCCACTTTGACCGTGTTGGATACCGATTACGACAACTATGCTGTAGTGTGGTCTTGCAACGGATTTGGGCCTGTGCACGCGCAAAGCGCTTGGTTGATGACCAGGGAACGTCTCGCCCCAGGACCAGTCCTCCAAAAGGCTTACGGAGTTTTGGACAAATTCAAGATCTCTCGCACTTTCTTCGTTAGAACCGATCAAGAAGGTTGCGCCATCGCCGCCTCCGATATTAATGCTGCTCAAGGAATCACCCCGATTTCCACGGTACCGGAATCCACGGGAGTCGAGCAAAAAATTAAGGATCAGGGAAAAAACGTGGAAGCCCCTGAGAAAGTCGAACAAGTGGCCGAAGTAATCATCAAGAAAGCCGAATTAGTCGAACCGGTTTTGGAGAAAACCGAGGAGAACGCTGTTAAGTTGTAGTTTATCTGCAAATAATGTACAAATTGCCTATTAGTATTATTTATTATCAAACTAAATAAACATATATAATTTATTTTTATTTTTCTACCTTTGCACCTACTAATGAGCAACATAATAAACTTACCGTAAGTGTGACCCAGTGTTGGGAATCCTTATCGAGCTATTCATTCGCTGAGTTAACTTACTGACAAATGCTTTACGCAATGATGAATAAAGTGGCCGTTTTTATTACGGGGTTGGTTATTGTCAAGGCTCAAATACCATTTTTGGGGTCGTGTCCTGATGTCCAAACCATGCCCGACTTTAATTTAAATCAGGTACCGTTAGAATTAATAATCCTTATAAATTATTAACTTTTGTAAATATTAATTATTTATTTAAATATTGTAAATATTATACTATTTTATTTGTTATTGTACAAGTAATAAATGTAATAAAGTATTTAGTTTTAATGTTGCATGTAAAAATAATTAAAGCAAGTTAAGTAAAACAACAGCATTTATTTATTTTTGTCAAAAATGGCGAATTCGCCGGGATAATTTTAAAAATTTAGTTTTTTTTATTATTATATTATTAAGTTGTAGTTTTTTAAAACTTAATTTACATTTTTGAGAACTAGCAATGATTCAATACACTATTCTACATCATGGGAATAAAAAACACAATTTATTACTTGTTGCACGTTTATGTGTTAAAATGAAAAAAATAAATATAGAATTTTTATGTTTGGTATATTTTTAAATTAAATATACTTGGATTTATCAAAAAACAAAATAACTGATGACAGCTCTGAGCTATCTAACCTCACTTAGCTTAGCACAAAAAGGCTTATGTAATTGTCAGCCTTAGGATAACATAAGTATTATTTTAGGTATAAAAATAAAATATCACCATGTAGTTGTATGTATTTTTTTACAAACAAATCATTTTAAAATTAACCATTGGTTTTCACGTTATTGCAATATTTTAAAATTCACCCCGGCGCATTCGCCATTTTTTGCAATAAAAAAGTATTTTTCTTTCTAATTATATATCTGGTGACCCTTGTAGTATTTAAATTAAACGAAATAGGTATTTAATTTTTTTTCGGTTGAAATGTCTTTCTACATCTCCTATATCGACCTGGCATTTTTGGATATAAAGACACATGTTTCTTAATTTTTTCTAATTATTTTTTTTAGTTCTTAGGAAAATGGTTTGAATCTGAACGCTATTTTGCCGTTTTTGAATTTGGAGGAAAATGTGTGACGGCGGAATATAATCTTGGAGATAGTGGGGCAGTGACTATCCTTAATAAACAAATGAGTTCAATGTATTATAGAAAAAACAATAATATCTTTTTTTTAATTAATTGATTTAATTATTTTAGCACTGGCCTTGATTCCAGCATAGAAGGTGTTGGTAATGTAGTTTCAAGGGATGACGCGGCCAAATTGACCATAAATTTTCCATCTTTACCATGTAATTAGTTTTTTCTACTCCCACCTTTAAAACGCCCTTTATCGTACATGTTTCCATGACACTAAATGACCTTTTAAATACACATTGCCAAGTTGTGGCTTTATGGCGCTTTAGTCACGGGCTGAAGTTAGCAACAGGTTTTTAGTCACGGGCTGAAGTTAGCTTTAAGTTAGTTGACAGTTGTCAAATGTCATACAATCTTTATCTTAACGCCTTTCTTGTAAAATAATACTAAATGTGAAAATTATTTTATTATTTCAATACAAAAGTATTAAATAGTTTCTCAACGCCAATATTTAAAAAGTTTATATGAACACTTTACTGACCTTTTACCCAGTAAACACAGAACTCTCGGGAAACATTCGGCCAACATTCGGCACTATCGGGAGACTGGTGGCATAATTTGCCGTGTCCGGATCACTTACGGCCCGCATACAAACTCCCCAGTAGGCATTTTTCCAAATTCGGTTAAAATACGGCCCGATTTCGGCAAACCAGTAACCGGGATCCACCCTTCGCGCCCGAATGCTATCCGAAAAAGTATAGCCCATGAACGGGCTGGATTATTTGCTACTTTCGGGCCGTCTTCGTTAAGTACGCTGATACCCGCTCTCCTCATTTTAAGTCTTTGGCATTCGTAGTCCCAAGCACAGATCATAGAGGTCGCAAACACTTTACTTTAGTAGTTTAGCTGAACCACGTGAACGAAGTTTCAATGTTAGGTTATATTCCAGAAAAGGATTGTTCAGGACAGTGTTATGTTGTTTTCCTTTAAAGAAAATAGTTTATAAATTATCCATATGGTATATATATACTATAAACCACAATCCACATTGTGAATTGTGCTATAAACGATATACTTACCGTGTTTTGGTGCCGGATTTTGTTTGAAAATTGTGTTTTTTGTGACAAACTAGTTTTGTGTGTAGTTTTAGGTTATAATTTTGTATAAGTTTTATTATAGTTTGTAAAATGGCAGAATCAAGTGAAGAGTAAGTTGAAACAACATAATTTATTATATTTTGCATATTTTGTCATTTCACTGTTAGTCTTAGGTAGGTATTTGTTATTAACAAATTGTTAAGGGTATTTTCAGGTTTATCGTTTATTTTTGAATTAGGATACCTATTTCTTAAAAGAATTTTTATGTCTATATGTCTTTTATTAAAAAAGTAAGCAAACGCCACAATTTTTTAAACGTCGTGTGCTTAGTGAACAAATGAAATGTTTAATTGAAGATTGTTTATTAACGGATGACAATTCAACAAATAATGCATCGTTCCAATTACCTACAAGTTCTGTGTCTAGTAATAATGACCAACCTTCTTGTTCTAATAGTATAGACATATCAAGCAACACACCCAGCCAACAAAGTCAAGGTAGTGCTACTAGTAGCAGAGGGTAGCGCTACCCTCTGCTACTAGTAGCACTACCTTCACTTTGTTGGCTGGGCAGCTAGTAATATACCCGAGAATATACCCTTAAATATACCTAAAGAACTACCCAAAACTGATGGGTTTTCGGAGGGTTCTTAGATAAATGTTATAGAAAAGGAGGTACCTGAAGTAGAGTGTAGTTTTGTTGATATTTTATTTTTGTTAAATTTTATTTTATTTTATCTGTTTTGTAGCGCAATACCATGTTAAGTTCAAATATATTTTTATCGATTTTTATATTTTTCCATATTTTTTTTAATTGTTTCCCTATCACTTCCCTACTAACCACAAGTGGCCCATTGTCGGTTAGAAAACGGCAAAAGGTATCAAAACCGAACGTTAGCCGTATGATATACGCCAGCCATGCCGAAAACATAGAAGCGGGTGGTGGTCCACCGAGTAACCCACTAGCTGATGCAGCGCCTGCATCCATATATCGGGAGAATCCGGCAGATTGGAAAACAAGTATTCTTGCCATCTCTGGCCCGCGAGTCTGTGTGTACTGGGTAATTTACTTATTAAGCAACGTATCGTAACCTTGCCGAAAGCACGGAAGCGGGTGGCGGGCCACCGAGTAACCCACTAGCTGATACCCGCTAATGACTCGGCTTTACGGTAAGTCGGCAGAAAGTCTGCCAGGCGGACATGCCCTACCTACACGCCGCGCCGGCAACCATGTTTCGGGCCGAATCCGGCAGTTCGGAAAAAAGTATTCTTGCCATCTCTGGCCCGCGAGTCCTGTGTTTACTGGGTAATTTCGCCGGCAGTAAACTATAACTTAAATTCGGGCACGGACTCCACTGTAAAGTGCTTATAAAGCATTTTCTTTAGTTTCACTGTGAAAAACTGTCAATTTTCAAGAAATACATTTCTATTTATAACCTTTATAATCTATGTTTATAAAATTTAAAAATTTGACATTTGACGGTGACACACAGATTCCCCTATTGTTTCATAGATGGCGCTCTATACAAATTTTTTATTTAAATCATTTTAAGATAATAATAAGTATTTGTCGTAGAAAAAGTATAGTATGCACCTCGTTTATAAACTTTTCTATTTATCAAACTTGATACATAATATAGTATTATCTACTCCTACATTTACGAGCTGTGACTTTAGAGCGTTTTAGTCACGGGCTGAAGTTAGCAATAGTTGCTTTTGGGCATTTTAGTCACGGGCTGAAGTTGGCTTTATTATAAATTAGGGAAAAGTGAGGTTAAATCCGTTAAAAGTTGACAGATGTCAAATGTTTAACAAATAAAATTGGCTTTAAATTATTTTTTGTGTTCGTCGCAGATAATGTATAGTATGCAACTCGTTTTATAAATTTCTCTAGGCACTCGTTTTTATTAAACACTCGCTCGCAAGCTTCGCTCGTGCCTAATAAAACTCGTAACTAAAATGGCGTTTATAAAACTTGATATATAATATACTATTGTCTATAATTTAAACTTTATTATTGTCAACACTCACTACTTAAGTAATTAATTACCGCCTAGGCTACAGTAATAAATTTGACCAATCGTTTTTTTACCTCCTAGGCTGTGAAAACCCGCTTGGACCAATCAAAATTCGACTAATGTCACTTTTTAAGCCTTATGACATAAATAACTATTGCTTATGAAATAATTAATTAATTAATTAATTAATTTCAGATAATTTTGATGCCCCCTACTGGGTGTTGGATACGGATTATAAAAATTATGCTGTTGTGTGGTCTTGCAACGATTTTGGAATATTTAACACGAGTAATAACTATAATAACCATGTTATTATTTTGACATAATACGTTTTTTATTATTTTAGGAAATGCCTGGATTTTAGCTAGATCCAAAAACCCGACTTTACCAATTATACAAAAAGCTTATACCGCACTGAAAAAAAATGGCATTAGCAGGGCATATTTTATAAAAACTGATCAAAAAAATTGTCCCTTAAATTAATTTTATTCTGTTTTTTTTTTAAATTTATTTGTTTTAGAATAATTTATATCTAATTAAAGAATGTGAAGTATTGAAATATTATTGAAATTGTTTTTTTATTAATCCAAAAATACTTTTTATAGGTAGATCTAAAAATAATTAACCATCTTTCTTTGTTAAGTATACAATGGTAGCGTCTACGTAAATAAGGTAAAATCTTGTTTACCTAGTGGCTTTTGGTAGCCGGTATTTAAAAAGCTTGTTTGGGCTCGGGAAAGTTCGTTGTTTAGGTAAAATGCGTTCGGTAAGGTTCGCTAGAATGTTATTGCACATGGTAGGTAATGTAGCGAGGCTGCGACGAACGGGCGTTGTTATGAGTTGAAACAACCGTTTTAGCAGTATGTAGTTTATTTTTTATCCAAGTGATGTGATTTTAGAGGTTCACAATTAATAAAATGTTCGTTAATAGATTGTGACCTTAGCTGAATCGACATGAAGCTCAATGGACTGAGTTGTTTTGTTATTGCAATACTTCTACAAAATAATTTTACAAGTGCTTTCTTAAATCTTTATCTTAGTTTATCGGAAGTACAAAGACTTATAGGTATGTATTTGTGTTATTATTATTAATATTTTATTATTTTTAACTATTGCACATGCGTGTAAGGATCGACCATTAGGGGTGGCACTAATTTACATCCCGACGAAATGTAAATAACCTAACCTAATTTACATTTTAAAAAATCAAATATTATGCCTTGTACCTGTCTATTTTTATACCTGGTTTTTAACTTTGTCAGGTTAATTCGCAGAAAAGTCATTTCGGTAACGAACTTTTAGTTATTAGTTTACGAGGGGGTTAAATTTGCAACTTTATTATTAAGGAAAAATAAACAGTTTTTTACAATTTATAACAATACCCACCATGCTTTTTGTGTTGCTTTTTACTTTAATTAGGCACACTTGTTACCGAAAGTATAAAGTAGAAACCAACACAAAAATCATTTGTTAAACAATCCATAAAACGTACAGTTATAGTAATTTTTAAAAGTACAAAGTAAAGTTAGATTAGATCTGACAGTAGTTGAATTTTTTGATTGGTCCAAACAGGTTTTTTAAATACTAGGAGGTAATTCATTATTTACTAAAGTTCATTTTTTTATCTGGACTGCGGCAACGTTGCAAATTTAGGCTTTGGTTGGTAAATGCAGTTGTCAAGTTGGTCGCATTGATTAAAACAAACTAAGCTAGTTATAAATCTAATTGTGGTTATGTATAAATTATTGTAGGTTACATTGTGCAGTTGTCAAGTTGAGTTGTCGAAATTCGTAGTTAAAAATGCTAAAAATTTGGCTTTGGTGATGCTTAGATGAGTAAAATATAAAAAAGTAGTTAAATAAAGGTTGCTTTACGGCCCAGAAGAGAAAGTATTCCTATCGCTTTGAAAAGAATTTATATAAAAGAAATTAAAATTTTTTTGTGAACGTAAATGTTGTCCAATGGTGAATAATGTGAAAATAATGTTTGATGTAATACCTATTTATAAAACCGAATTCGTTAGTTTTTTACTCCGAAAATGTCCATAAGGCGATGTACTTTTTCTTCCATTGTGGCATTTGGCATAATTTCATTGAAATGAAGTTTTGCCCTCAAAAGGGCTTTTTGGCATAATTATCTTTTTATTTATAATTGACAAGTAAATTATCAATAATAAATATTATTGTCAATTTGACAGTGTCAAAGTATTTAATTAAGTTCTTTAGCAGAAGTACCATTTTTAAATACTAAAAATACTAAGTCAAACTGGCATAAGCCACCAACCTAACAAAAAAAACACGAGTCCAGATAAAAAAAAAATATACAGTACTACTTTGGACCCAAGAACACTGCCTTCATTCATCAAACAGTGTTCTTGTTTGGAACAATAAAAAAATCTGTCAGATATACCTAACCTCCCTTTCTACTTTTATTAATTAATATTGTAATTGTAGGTTTTATGTATCGTTCAACAAATAAAATTGTATCTTGAAGATAAATGAAATAAATAACTATTTTCCAAATGACTTTTATAACAACAATAAAAATATTAAAAAAAAAATATTTCTTATCAGTTTCGGAAGCTTTAGAGCGGCGATTACAAAGTAAAAACATCCGCCCAATTAACAATGTAAATATGAATAAAAAATATTAACAAACCAGTTCATTGTTTGATTAGTAGAAATAAAATTACAAAAAACATCCCGATTGTTTCAGGCTTAGTAGCAGAACTATATTACGTAAGAAACGGAGTTGTGAATGATTATGCTCTTAATTATGTGGTTCCGATTCCGTCCAAAATAGATGCGCTATATTTTACATGGGAAAGCTTATCAAATCAACAAACAGTAAGAACTTCAACCACAAAAATCTGGTGGTAATATGGAACCATTTGCCAGTCACATCTTCTTGGTGAACATAGATTCCATATTACCACCTCCTTTATTTTAGTCCAAACTGCATCCTAAATTATCTAAATTTTAGCTACCTTATACGATAATAACGGAATCATCTAATCTTCAAGCTTTACCAACTCCAAAACTGAACATATCTAGTTCGGGAAATGTTCCTACCACAGTACAAACGTTCGCCGTTTCGTTGCCTTGCTCAGGGACAGTGTCAGCCGAAGTGGACATCAAAATAATCATCAACGTAACCATATCTCGCGATAATGTAACCTCTCTGAAATTCCAGCGGCATAAAATATGTTTTGAATACGAAAACGCAAACACCTACGTATCCATAGATTCGATTCCAGCTTATTCGAATTCGGCGAACATCTTTTACGTGGCCGTTCTGTGCGCTTTGCTGTTGATATTAACTCTGGCAATATTTGTGGCTTTCTATTACGTGAGGGATAAGAAAACTAGAAGGCCTCCGGAGACCAGCAACGGGCCCACTACGACTTTTTTGGCTTCGTTGCCGAGGAATAGCATTAACACTTCGTCGTATGGAAGCTTTAGAAGGATGCCTAGCTATTCCTTGATCGACGAGCGCTCAAAAGACTTGCAGGAAAGAATCACGGAACTCACCGTGCAAAGGTATTAAAAAGTCTTCATATATTTCAATCTTTTTGAATAAATGTTCTCATTTCAGATGTAGAGTAAGATTGAACAGCGTGATTATGGAAGGCACGTTCGGGCGAATCTACGAAGGATCGTACACCAACGAAGATGGACAGGAGGAATTGGTAGTAGTCAAAACAGTTACGGATCATGCAAGTCAAGTACAAATCTCTTTGCTACTTCAAGAAGGAATGGCAATGTATTCACTCAACAACAAGAATATTCTAAGCATTCTCAGGGTTTCAATTGAAGACCATACAGCTCCATTTTTGTTGTATCCTCACAACAACAACACTAATTTAAAAATTTTCCTGCAAAAATGTAAATTATCTGCCGAAGGCGTGTCGCACACCCTCACCACTCAAGAGGTTGTGGACATGGCATTGCAGATTATCCATGCCATGCAATATCTTCATAAGAAACATTTGTTGCACAAGGATTTGGCCACGAGAAACTGCGTGTAAGTATTTTTGAGAAAACAAGTAATCCCCATACCTATAGGTACACCATAACTTCTACATTTACCCTTTTGAGACCGACAGCAAATAACTCAAGGAGGAATATATAGGGATATCCATAAAGAGCAACCATAAAACATTTTACAAAAGATTGTTAAAACCTATGGGAGAAAAACTAATTTCTACATTGAGACCAATAGGAAGGATATCCCTATAGAACCCAGCTATGAGTCCTATTCATGCCGATACACCTATAGAAACAACGTACAATCCGATACAAAAATCTATCGGTTTGAACAGGGTCTCTATGTGACATTTTAGCCAGGGATTCCAATATTTTACATTTCTCTTGTTTAGGGTCGACGATCAACTTCATATTAAAGTAACCGACAACGCTCTATCCAGAGATCTATTCCCCTCTGATTACCACTGCCTAGGCGACAACGAAAACAGACCCGTCAAGTGGTTGGCAATAGAAAGTTTGCTTCACAAAAGCTTTTCGCCGAGTTCGGACGTCTGGTCTTTCGGAGTGGTTCTTTGGGAGTTGACCACTTTGGCTCAACAGCCCTACATCGAGATCGACCCCTTCGAGATGGCGGCCTATTTGAAAGATGGCTACCGACTTGCGCAACCCATCAACTGCCCAGATGAACTGTGAGTTTGCACTGATCTTTAAATTACGAAAAACCTCATAACGAAAATCCTTTTTTTCTTCTTCAAGGTTTGCGGTGATGGCATACTGTTGGGCGATGAGCGCTGAAGAGAGGCCTTCGTTTATGCAGCTTCATGTGTGTTTGCAGGAGTTCTACGCGCAATTGACTAGATATGTGTGACATATATAGTAGTTAAGTTAAAATAAAGAAAATGTTCCTTTAAAGCTTGGGTGCCAAATTTATATTATAACGAAAAGCGCAGATTTTGCAATTTGAGATGATCTCGGGTCCGCCATCTTGGATTGGATTTCAAGGTCATGCATAAGAATCTGTCTTATTATGCCGGTATACCTACAACAGAATAAAAGATTTTATTAAAAAATATATATATTAGACTATTTTGTAAATATTATATTTTATTTAATCGTATTGTAATGACATGTGATCTCTTAAGATTTTTATTTATTTATTAGCATGTTTTTTTGCTTTCAATGTTAACCTAATATTTTGTGTAGATTTTGATGTTACTTTCAAACAAATTTATTTTGACATGTGATTTTATGTAATGCGAGTGAAAAATAAATACTTATTTTTATATGTGAAAATATACCAAGCAGTAATGCTACTGTAAACAAAATGTGCTTTTTAATCGTTCCAACCTTGTAATGCGTAATATTACAAAAAAAAACCGATATTTTTAATTACAAGATAATAAAATAAACACTTGCATAACAAAACAAGTTTGATTTGGGCAGTGTATTAGGTCGCGCATTTAAAATTTAAAATCATCTACGTCACGCAGTTCATTTACCTTTTTTGAACACTTTGTATAAAGCTTGGAAGTTCTCTTCTAATGTTTAAAGTATTTTTTTATTTTAAGTTTAATTTCATCAGATGGAGAAATAATGTTTAGAAAAATATTACTTTTAAGTCGCATTTGTTTTATAAACGCGATTATTTCTTTGAATTTTGATATATTAACCTGTTCAGCAATGGAGTTAGGTAGTTTAAAATGGCGATTGTCGAAAGATGGCAGCACATGATATAATTTTTATTTTGTTTATTCGGGATATATAAATTGTTATTAGGGTAAAATGTAATGTTAAAGTGTACTATTAGATGACTTTTTGAATATTGAGGTTAATTAAATAGTTTGTTGTAAATAAAAATTGGAAAATGTGGTTTTGTGAATGTCGGTACTACAGGATTCTGTAACGTTTCCCTCCAAATTTGCGCCCTCTATGACATTGGCATTTGTTTTGATTGGCGTTGCATGTAATCGTATTTGGCAAGAAAATTGATAAAAACTCGTGTTTATTAACATGTTTCAAACACCGAAACGTCGAAAATCGTCAAGTGAAGGTAATGTGACGCCAAACTGCCGTGTTTTGCAATCGAAAAGCGAAAATGGTTCGGACAAAGAGAGCCCAAGCTTTAACAACGAAAGGGACCTTTTGGAAAATGTAACATCACCTTCTGAGGCAAGAAGAGGCAGGCCCAGGGCCGAAACACTAACCAGTTTAATCATGGTCGGTTCAACATCCCCAAGTTCAATAAAGTGCACCTACTGCAAAAGAGTTTTTCCCAGGGAAAAATCACTGCAAGCACATCTAAGAACTCACACTGGTAAGTTTTGTTTTCATGTCTAATAATTGTACCTAAAATTAAAAAAGTAATACACCTACCTACTGCACAGCAATACTCTTTTCTGTGCCTTTATGTAAACGTGAACAAAAAGTATTTAAAGGCATACAAAATTTAATCAACCTGTCTACTCTTCGGATTATGGATAGGTAGGTAGGTAAAATTACACAAAAACATTAAAATTATAGAGGCACTATACTTTTTATTATTTCAACAAGCAATTTAGAATAATAGTGCACCTTTTGAGACAGGGGCATTATATTATTAATTATAAACAAGATTATTCAACAACATTGGAAATTTAATTATCTACGTGATAAGTTTATATAATCTATATGTATTAAATATTTTATTTAAAATATATGTTAATAATAATGTAAAATTTAAAATGTTTAATTTATTATTAATACTATTTTGTGGTTTATAATTATTTCGTAGTCGGGTCATTTAAAAATAACTGTTTTGCATAAATTATAGGGAATTGACATTTAATTTAAATATCCATTTAAATGGGTACGTATGTGCTTTAGAAACAACATTAAAATGGTTAACCACTTCTTATTTTAAATAATAATTTAAATAACTGATTTATAAAATATCGAACATTCATATTTTTGACCACAAATGTATAAAAGACGTTTTGATTAAAAAAATGTATCAAAAATTGACAAAAATATTGGTTTTCCAATAATTCTTTATTTAAAAACACAAAGTTACTTTTTTAGAAATATTTTCCTGAAATGCATTATAAATATCAAAATCTTAATTTGTCTTTTTTAAATTTTCCATTTAGTATAGATTTTACTGTTATAAAGGCAGATTAAATTTTCAATTGTCTTAACCATAGGGTGTTTTTTGAAATTTCCGACTTTCTATAAATAAAATCTCTATAAAATGCAATAAACCAATCAGAGAACAGCATTTTCCACAGCACACTAGATGCGATGGAAAACGCTGTAATCTGATTGGTCTATTGCTTTCTATATAGATAGCTTTCTATAGAGATCATTTTCTATAGAAAGTAAACAAATTTCATAAACCACAGGGCACGGAAAAATATAATCGCCATGGAAATATAGAATTTTTAGTGAGATCTTTTTCAACAAAGAAATGTGTAAATAAGTAAAAAATAAACTTACCCTGCAAATCACTAAAACACTTCACACACTTCATTCAAACACTTCATTGTCACTGATTTTACAAAAAAGGTGTACGAAAGTGGTACAATGGTCCTGCACAAAGTTCACTATAGTATACAATAATTCAGCAATTTTGGTATTGTGAAATCAAAAGCATAGTAGTTACAGTGATATTTGTACTTGTGTATATACTAGACTGGGCCAAAAAAATCGACTATTTTTTTTTGTAAAGTAGGTATATCGAAAATATTGTTTGGGGTGACAAAAAATTTGAAAGTTAATATTAATACTCATCGCAATTTTAGATTTTTTTTCCTGAGCGTGTTTTTGTCTCAGAACTCCCAAACCATTGAGTTTAACAAAATTGACTTAAGAATATTTTTTTGAAGAAAACTGAATGCTCTACAAAAAAGGTTTGATTGGAATTTCCCGTCAGATAAACAGTTTTCTTACAATCATGCCTTAAAAATTGGTATATTTTTACAATTTGATCTTTTAACTTTGGAATGTAATTCATTTAAAAATCAGTACCTGGAAAAAAAACCGATAGATATTCTTATGGGAAATCAAATGCTCTACAAAAAAAAGTCTTTTAACATTTTTGGCTAAATTCACTCCATCAAAAGTTATTCAAGGTTAAATTTGAAGTCAAAACGAAATTCTTGTTTTTTCTTTGGGTCAGTTAAAAACTTGGATTCTTTTATCGATGATAATCTTTATGTTATTGATAAAATTACTGAAAATTAAAAAAAAAAAAATACATTAGCAATTTTTCGCTTTAAGAAGCTATTTTCTTTAGAAAAAATTATTTTCACTGTTACCTATTTAATCGTTTAAATAATAACAATCATGTTGTTTTTTTAATGGAAATTGTTAATTAGTTATATAATACACATTTATAAAGAAAAAAATCAAATTATCATCCATAAAAAAATAAATCTACAAGAATTTCGTTTTGACTTCAACTTTAACCTTGAATAACTTTTGATTGAGTGAATTTAGCCAAAAAGAGGCTTTTTTGTAAAGCATTTGATTTCCCATAAGAATATTCATCGGTTTTTTTCTGGGTACTGATTTTTACATGAATTACAAAATTCCAATGTTAAAAGATCAAAATGTAAAACTATACCAATTTTTAAGGCATGATGTTAAGGAAACGGTTCATCTGACGGAAAATTTCATTTTATCCTTTTTTGTAGAGCATTTAATTTTCTTAAAAAAATATTTTCAAGTCAATTTTGTTAAACTCAATGGTTTAGGAGTTCTGAGACAAAAACTTGCTGAGAAAAAAAAATTAAAATTGCGATGATCTTAGTATTAATATTATGGACTCAAACTTTCACAATAATTTTTTTTGTCACCCCAAACCAAATTTTCGAGATACTTTAAAAAAAAAATAGTTTTTTTGGCCCAGTCTAGTATTTACATACCTCAGATATACCTATACAAAAGTAGTAATTTTACCTCACTTTTAATTTTATTAAAAAAAAAACTTGTCTAGAGACTTAGCTAAAAAAATAGTCAATGTTACCTATTTGTACAAGAGAATTGATATTTATTTATATTTTTGTTAAAAAGAATTAAAAAGAAGCATACTTTATTTCTCTTAAAATTCTCCTAAAAACCTCCTAAATTCCTAAATAAAATTTTTAATCTAGCTGTGGGAGCCCTGCCCTAAAAGGACCGCAATCATAATATTATTGTATAAACCTAAGATTAAAAATGTGTGTTTTAGCTCGTTTTTATTTTTAAGATTTACGTTGATTTTGGTCATAAAACATTTGATTGACTTGAAAATTGTGGCACATTGTTATTTAAACCTTAAAAATGTAGGTATCTAATAAATGTAATTAACGTGATGTATTTTTTTAGGTGAAAAACCTTATGTATGCGATTTTCCGAAATGCACGAGGCAGTTTGCTCAGTCAGGCCAGCTAAAAACTCACCAAAGACTTCACACTGGAGAGAAGCCATTCATGTGTTCAGCTCCTAGTTGCAACAAACGATTTACGCATGCAAATCGACACTGTCCAGATCATCCAGACTCGCAAATAAAACGATGTGTCGTCAAATCGGAAACCTCATTCGAAGACATTACAACGCTAAGCGAGAACGACAGCGCCACCGATTATGAGAATTACAGCGCCGAAGTGAAGGAGTGGCTGAAAAACTACGAGCGAAAGAACAAAAGTTCAGCGGAAAATTTAGACACCACGCCGAAAAAGTCGTTTAAGCGCGAAGAAACCGCGTTCAGCAGCGGAAGTTCCGCCTACTTTTCCGGCTGTTCGGCCGATATCGAAAACTCGCCGCAATCCGAAGCGAACACCAGCGAGTACGAGATAGCGAACGACTTGACGCCGCTGCGATCGTCGTCGTCGGTGAAATTCCCCAAAAAGCGCTGGTTGAGCGAAGCGGTCCTGGACCAGCACATCTGGGACTCGAACAACGTCCTGGCGCACCCTCTCAACTGGTCCGAGGAGGTTTTTTCCAACGGCAACGATTTCGAAGGTTCGAAAAACAACTCCCCGGAATCGGTGGAAGTTCAAGCCCAGCCCTTGCCCCTAATCAAACCAAAAACGACTGAAAACGAGAACCAAAAGAGGCCGTCGGTGCTTGTGTGCGTGCAAGGCGGCAAACGCAAAGAGATTTCCAGCGAAGAAATTCAAGGTGCTATGGCTTTGGTCGAGTTAAAAAACGCGAACTTCAATTACCGCGTATGAGTACAACAAGTTCTTGTGATATATTTAGTTGTATCCTGTTTTTGATGTTGTGTTTCGAAATTTTATTTAAAAATCGATAGTTTTTTAAAAGGCTGCTACGTTTACTTCATTTAAATGTATTCAGCCATGTTGATTATATTACCCAATATCGGAAATTCCGACATTGCTTAAATAAGGACCACACTATTATACAGGTGCTTTAATTTTTTGTCTATGATGACTGAACGGCCCCTTAACAAAAAACCCTGTTCCTGATGAAAGATTGAATAATTTTTATGAAATTGTTTGCATTTACCAAACTAGATACAAAGGATTGACTAAACGAAATAATTGTTAAATAATTTAACGTAAATTTGCTGTGATCTATGTTGCTTCCAAAAAAAAAATTAAAAATGTTGAAGTTATGTTTTTGCCGAAAAAAACATGCACAATGTGATTTTCCTATTTTTAAGGTATTTATTATTAAAATTGTATGTTGGTTTCAAGTTCTGTTTTTCTAGGGATTGGCAATTTTCAAATATTTAAAGGAATTCTTACCATAAAACTTGTATATTTCAGTATTAAATTTAATTTATGGTACCTAATATAAATTTATTGTTGCACTAACTAGTAATTTACACAAAAATACTGCAAATCAAAAATATGTTATTGTCAAAGATTTATAAAACCGTCCGTCATGTTTTAAATTAATGAATTATTTGCATATTATTGTATAAAATTGTAACAAAAATTTGCAGTAATTAGTTGTATTGTAAATATTACCTTTGATTTGTAGACTACAAATTTAACCTTTTATTCTAGTTATTTATTATTGTATACTCAATTTTCAGAGTTTTCATTTAATACATTTATATTCATCTTTAATTTGTCTTTTTTTATCATTCCCATTATATAACAAGCCTAATAATTTAACAATTTATGTCATTAGGTTAAGAAGTAAGTCTTTTTGTGCTAAGCTCAAGGTTTGAAGGCCGACGCGTAGCAATTGAGCGAAGCACAAACAGGCACTTCTTGGCCGAATGGCATACAACTTTTTATCTTCAAAACACTTTATATAGTTCAATTTAATTCAACATCAAAGCGGCCTAACCTCACTTTTTTAGAATCTCATTTATTTATTAGCTAAAGATTATATTAAATGTACAATAATTATTATTGCTTTTAGAAGCAGTAATAGTTTGACAATACCTAGCAACATGATTTAAGTAGAAATGGATTTTTGCCATTACATTGAATTCAATTAATTGTTTAATAAATAGGTAGGTATCTAATTTCAATTTGTTTAGATTTTTATTTAAAAAATAGTTAGTTTGGAATGTTTAAGCTGTGTTTAACATTTAATTTCACTGAAAACTTAAAGATAATTTAAATCGTAGAAAAAGAATCGTGCGTTTTCTTGGTTGCCTAACCTCACTTTTTGTTTTATCATTCATATTTAATTTTACAATAATTTAATGAAAAATATTAAACATTTACAGTAAAACAAACAAATTAGTGCTTATTATAAATAAATTAAACCCAGTTTGGTACGTTAATTTCTTAGAAAAGGATTAATTTGTCAAAACAATACCCCTAGCGAGAAAAAATCTAATTACCTACTTGCCTCATAAAAAATTTTATCGGCCTAGGCCATAACAAGGTATTTCTTTATCGAATGTTGACAACAATAAAGTTTAAATTATAGACCGCGTGGAGATAAACATTATTATTATTTGACATTTCAAACTCCACATTAGAGGTGCAATACTTTTCAAATAACAAATTATTCTTATTTAATATAGATTTTACTGTTATAAAGTCAAATGGTCACTAATTGGTCAATTGCTTTCTGTAGAGATCATTTTCTATAGAAAGTAAACACCCCCAGAGGGCACAGAAAAACTATTTGCCGTTCAGTAGGTATACAGAAATAATCGACATGGGTAAATAAGTAAAAAAGACTTACCCTGCAAATCACTAAAAGCACTATTGTCACTGATTTTACAAATTTAACGCGTACAATTTCTTTATTACCTTCGAAAAGTGAGATTGTTAATAGGAACCAGTAAATTATTTGAAATACAGACGCCATTTAAAAACAAAAATAGTATTGCACGTCCTGCGCATAAAAGTGCGCGAAAGTTGTTCGTTGGGCCTGCTCCAAGGTCATTACACGATAATTCACCAATTTTTAAGTACCTACTGTAGAATCAAAAGTGGACATGTCCAATGCCGTGCTATGCAAAAAGGTGGTAACTACATACTGTATTACTTGATATTATAGTAATGCTTTTTGTACATGCTTACCAGTGGTTTCTGCATTTTCTGTAGAAAAATTCCAGGAAGAACAAAATTATATAAGTTAGGTACCTATACTACCAAATATCAAATATACAGATCTGTTATTTTTACTTAAAAGTTTTAATTTAAATTTTTTAAAATTAATATTACCTACCTATATCCTCTAAAATCAAAAACATAAATGAAACAATTTTGGTAAAGTTCATTTTTTTTATCTGGACTGCGGCAACGTTGCAAATTTAGGGTTTTGGTTGGTAAAAACAGTTGTCAAGTGGGTCGAATTGATTAAAACAAACTAAGCTAGTTATAAATCTAATTGGTGTTATGTATAAATTAATGTACGAATTTCGACAACTCAACTTGACAACTGCACAATGTAACCTACGTAGGTTACATTGTGCAGTTGTCAAGTTGAGTTGTCGAAATTCGTAGTTAAAAATGCAATTAATTTGGCTTTGGTGGTGCTTGGATGAGTGAAATCATATAAAAAAAGTAGTTAAATATAGGTTGCTTTACGGCCCAGAAGAGAAAGTATTTCTAGCGGATAATAATCTTTATTTATATTTATAAGAAATTAAAATTTTTTGTGAACGTAAATGTTGTCCAATGGTAAATAATGTGAAAATAATGTGTAATGTAATATTTATAAAACCAAATTTGTTACTTTTTTACTCCAAAAATGTCCATAAGGCGATTTACTTTTTCTTCCATTGTGGCATTTGGCATAATTTCATCAAAATGAAGTTTTGCCCTCAAAGGGGTTTTACATTCGAATTCGTTTCTAATATTTTTGGCATAATTATCATTTTATTTATAATTGTCAAGTAAATTATCAATGATAAATATTATTGTCAATTTGACAGTGTCAAAGAATTTAATTAAATTCTTTAGCAGAAGTACCATTTTTAAACTGGCGTAAGCCACCAACCTAACAAAAAAACACGAGTCCAGAAAAAAATGAACTGTATACTACCAAATATCAAATATACAGATCTGTTATTTTTACTTAAAAGTTTCAGTTTTTTTTAGTCACGGGCTGAAGTTGGTTTTAAGTTAGTTGACAGTTGTCAAATGTCATGTCATCGTTCAAATAAAGTGCCTTTTTTGTAAAATAATAATAAATGTGAAAATTATTATTATTATTATCTCAATGCAAAAATATTAAATAGTTTCTCAACGCCAATATTTGAAAAGTTTATATGAACATTGTCAAAACGTCAAGGTATGCAATGCATTTGTATGCACGCCACTGCTATGAAATATAAAATGATTTACATACCTTTGGTAAGATCCTACCATTTTCCTGGGAAAACTTTGGTAGGTAAATAATAAAACGAATGAAATAAAGATAAAAATAAAGTGTCATTTTAGTATTTTATTATTTTTTTTTGTGATATGGAAGACATTTAGCAGTCCAGCCCACAAACTTCCAGAACACACATTATTTAGAACTAACTTATATTATGTTTTATATATAACCAATAAATGCAAGGAGTTGAGCAAAAGTAAGAAAAAACCACTCATTATCACAATTTTTTGGGTCCTTTATCTAATGACTTTAAACGAAAGTGTTTGCACGATATTTTAACTGTCATTAGGTAAAAAACTGGTTAATTTAAAATGATGAACACACCTATGTACAGGGTGCGTTAGCCAAACATACTCACAACACAACTCTAAAAAAATGTAGAAATTTCAATGAAAGCATTATTTTGATTAAGTGGTTACAATTAAGTAGTTATGCCGTAAGTATGTTTTGATAAAACACTGTATTATTTATTATTCCTAGTAACTCCTTGCTATGTCCTATAACTGTTTGAAAAATTTGCATAGTAAAATTATAAAACTTGTTTAGAAGTCAAATAGAATGTCCTCATCGAAAAATAACACAAAACTGACTGAGTTAAAAGAATACGTTAATAACTTTAGGACATACACTATTTAGACATAATATCCTAAAATATAACATTTTGCCCACTACTGGTGCTCTACTCGAAATATCAGGACAATTAAAAAAACTAAGTAATATACAGAGTGTATGAAGGAATCAACCCGGCTTCGGAATTAACAAATATTCCATTAAACCCAATAGATAAATGCTTAAATATATAATAACATTGAATTTATATACTCAGATCAAACTAAAACCTTAAGCAACTATTTATTAAGTTTTTTATTTTCTTTTATGTCCCTGTCAGGTTTTTAAAGTGACTAGTCACATTCAGTAGCAATAGTAGTTATTAGGAAATACTTAAAAAGTAATGATCACTTAGTAATATTTACATTAAAACACAAAAAACAAAATCGGCGCAATGCCCATGCTGCTTTTCAAAACAAAAATAATGAATTCCCTAGATATAAGAAATAAAAATGATAGCTCGAAATTTTAGTGAACCTTCAATCAAAGTGTAAAAACTCAATGGTAGTAGTTAACAGTTAAAAATTATTATGTCAAATTCACTATCCCTAAAATTAAACAACAATTCGTTAATTGGAAAATTGTCTTAGCAAAAAATTCACACCTCAGTGCAGTATGTGCAAGCGGCATTGAATTCCTTCATTAACAATCAACCAACATAAAAACTAATTAAAAACTAAGAAAAAATATGATGCCAAAGCAAAAAAAAAACAGCCTGTTGATATATGCGAGTATTATGATAGTGAGCGATTTTTTTATTTACAAAGAATTTTCTTTAAACCAACACAAAAAAATGATGTTAAAACAAACTTGGCAAATTAGTCATGACTAACAAAAAAAAAGTCTGCAAACCGATACGGTCTGCAGCGTAAACATTTTTTTGCATTTATTCCTGAATGTCACTATTCATACATTTACTAGAAAAATATGAAAACTATGTAAATATTTAAGGCAATGGCACCGAATATATAACAACCAACTGCAACTACTTACAAATTTTATACAATACAATTTTCTTCTTTTATACAATCACGCTTTCCCTTTTTTATGCGAGAGAAAAGATGATTTCAAACAGAGGGTCTAACTTTTAAAAATGAAAAAAAACAAAGAGTTCAGTCTGCCGTAGAAAGCTTATTCAGCTTCACTTTTAAGATTAGAACACATAAAGTGGAATTAAAGTGGATTTAAACCGCCGATCCAGATGCTACTTCAGACTTGCCTGAAATTCAATAAGCACCATAAGCATCACAACCGAATTTTACCGCTACCTCGTCGCCATCTTGGAATCCAAGATGGCGGCGGTTCCGGTAATGCAGTAAAATCAGCTCGTTCTGCCGAACACAACAACAAAATGTAGCGAAAACTATCAAAGGCGTTTCGTTTGAATTCAGGCAACAAGTGTGGTCACAGATTCCGTTCATTTCTTTGTACCATTTGATGACGGAAGAATATTGTCAAAATTGGAGAAATATGTCTTTTGTCATCGAAAAACTTCGGAACAAAATCTGTGAACAGCTATACACGAAGATGGTTGTCTGGATTCAAAGTTGACGCGTTTGCGGCAACAAAAGTAGAAACCAAACTAGTGAGGGAAAATCATTTGGCTTCCTTACCGGCTGGCTGTTGGTTGGACGATGATGGAGCTTCGGCCGGCTTCGATCTCCACGAATCGGTTCTTTGACGCTGCTGCTGCTGATTGGTTTTCGATTTTCCGGACGTGAACGATTGAGTGCGAGATCTCGATTGGTATGCGGCTGACGCGTACTTGAAACCGGTACCAGCCGGCGCGCTTGTACCCGGCTGCGGGGTATCGGAGAATCTGTGATGGTGGGGATTCCTAAACAACAAGAACGCGCGCATTGAAACAAGAGTAAAAATCGTAGAGATGGGAATCGGAAAGTTACCATTTTAAGGAAACTTTCCGTTTTGGAAAGTTTCCAATTGGGAATTTATTTTCATTTTGAAAGTTTCTTTTAAGCTACCGGAAACATTCCTTGTTTTTTTCATTTAAATGTCAATTGTTTAACCGCTGATTTTCGTTAAGGCCAAGAAACTTTGAATAAGAATTTAATGTGTGTTAATTTAAAGCAGAAGAAGTATAAATAATGTAAGTTATGTTACATAACCTCAATGAAGCCGGATTATTCAGCATCATCACCAAACTTTTTTAAAAAAAGGTTAACAAAATAAAAACAATAAACAAAGTTAAAATCATTCTTACATTTTTGTTGTTTATTTATAGGCATAGCACAATGCCAAGAAAAAAATCTAGTGTTTGGAATTATTTTTTACTTTACTTTTTACTTTTCAATATTCCTATATATTAGTTGCTTTATCCCTTTTAATTTTTTTACGTAATATCTAGGATTTACTAGAAGTGAATTTCTAATAGTAAACATTTTATTTTTATTTTGTAGGTTTCAGTATACAATAGGAATATTCCAAAGTAAAAGATACTAAAAATAGTATTGCAATTACATTCTTATAAACATTTTTTTTCTTAATAAAATTTGACAAAAAGTTAATGTGTTATATATTTTTGCAAATCCCTGGCATAAAAAAAAAATATTTTCACAATAAAAAATTTTTTTTTGAAACTTCGGGAATTTTCGATGGAAAGTTTCCGGGAATTTTCGTCAAATGGGAATTTTCCCATCTCTAAAAAATCGACTATTTTTTTTTTGTAAAGTATATTGAAAATATTGTTTGGGGTGACAAAAAAAAAATATGGTGAAAGTTTGAGTCCATAATATTAATATTAAGAGGACTATCATCGCAATTTTAGATTTTTTTTTCCTGAGCGAGTTTTCGTCTCGTCATTGAGTTTAACAAAATTGAAGAATATTTTTTGAAGAAAATTGAATGTTCTACAAAAAAGGTTTGATTGGAATTTCCCGTCAGATGAACCGTTTTCTTACAATCATGCCTTAAAAATTGGTATAGTTTTACAATTTTGTCTTTTAACTTTGGAATTTTGTAATTCATGTAAAAATCAGTACCCGGGAGAAAAACCGATAGATATTCTTATGGGAAATCAAATGCTCTACAAAAAACATTTTTGGCTAAATTCACTCCATCAAAAGTTATTCAAGGTTGAATTTGAAGTCAAAACGAAATTCTTGTTTTTCCGCTCTAGATTTTTTTTTGAGTCAGTTAAAAACTTGAATTCTGTTATCGATGATAATCTTTATGTTATTAATAAAATTACTAAAAATTAAAAAAAAAATAACACATTTTATTTTCTTTAGAAAATATTATTTTCACTGTTATCCATTTAATCGTTTAAATAATGTTGTTTTTTATTGGAAATTGTTAATTAGTTATATAATACATTTATAAAGAAAAAATCAAATTATTACCCATACAAAAAATCTACAGAGGAAAAAACAAGAATTTCGTTTTGACTTCAACTTTAACCTTGAATAACTTTTGATTGAGTGAATTTAGCCAAAAATGTTAAGAGGCTTTTTTTGTAAAGCATTTGATTTTCCATAAGAATATTAATCGGTTTTTTTCTGGGTACTGATTTTTATATGAATTACAAAATTCCAAAGTTAAAAGATCAAAATGTAAAACTATACCAATTTTTAAGGCATGATTTTAAGGAAACGGTTCATCTGACGGAAAATTTTATTTTAACCTTTTTTGTAGAGCATTTAATTTTCTTAAAAAAATATTTCTGAGTCAATTTTGTGAAACTCAATAGTTTGGGAGTTCTCAGACAAAAACTTGCACAATAATTTTTATTTGTCACCACTAACCATATTTTCGATATACTGGCTTTATTATAAATTGCGAAAAAGTGAGGTTAAATTCTTTAGATGTCAAATATTTATGAATTAAAATTGGCATAAAATGAATTAAAATTGGCATAAAATTCTTATTTCTGTTCGTCGTAAATAAAGTACTCGTTTTATAAACTTCTCTAGACACTCGTTTTCATTAAACACTCGCTCTCAAGCTTCGCTCGTGCTTAATAATACTTGAAACATAATATACCCACAATTATACTAATTTAAAAAACCACTAGTTTTTAGGACAATTAATATAACAAAATACGTCAGAATGTACTTGTATTTATTTATTTATATTTTATTTGCTATTTTTTGGCGTTTAAATAATTTACATATTTTACTCATTTGAATTCGAAAAATTTCGGACAAAAACAACCACCTGTGTAAACTTGAAAAATTGATGTTTTTGAACTAAGAAATTGTACAGAATTTGACAACAAAAATTTTTGAAAATATGTGATTTTATTGTATTATTGAAAAGGTATAAATTATTGAAAATAGATGTGTTAAATTAAAAAAAAAAATTATAAAATAATCTGGGTCTAGTTTTACTCAATTTTAGTACGATTTCTCTTTTTACATAGTCTTTTTATTTATGTAAAATTGTACAAAATTGTATAAGATATTATAAAATATTATACAATATAAAATTTCCTTCAGCTGTGGCTAATAATTATTTTTACGAAAAATAAAATTTGTATTTACGCATGCGCACTAAAGTATGATTTGGTATTTTGACCACAGAATAGAGGAAGGCAGAAGTCACACTTCCCAGATTTCGTGTCGCAAAGTTGAAATAGCGCACGCAGTTTGAAGTAGGTCAATCACACATCGTATGCGGCATATTTCATATAATAGTATATTATGTATTAAGTTTATAAAACGATTTGCAACTATACTTTATCTACGACGAACAAAAAGGATTTAAAGGTAATTTTATTTGTTAAAAATTTGACATCTGTCAACTGTTAACGGATTTAACCTTACTTTTTCCCAATTAATAATAAAGCCAACTTATTTATTTTATTTACGGCATTTTAATTTCTGGCAACCCAAAGTATAACTGTCTAAGGACCTGTCAAATGGGAATGTCGTGTGTTTTAAGAATAGCCGTCATAAAAATTTCAACTCGAGATAGATATATGTCTTTAATGTCAACTTAAGCTATAATTTGGCTGATAAAAATAATCTTAAGCCTGGGGCCAAAGTATCGATTTTCCCAGAGCGCTAAAATGTTTTGTCGCGGACTTACTTTGTGTTCGACGATGAAGCTCGTCTGGGGTTGTGTTCATCGTGGTTTCCAGCCGTCTGGCTCTCTGAATAACTGCGATTGCGCTTCTTGGTGTAGCTGTTGCGTCCGTTTTGGTTAAGCATTTCGTTGATGCGCGGCTCAACGACTCTGAAGTCCTCGATGGTCTTGAATTTCGACAGGTATTGCTTGAGCGTCGCGCCGACTTGCAGATTGCTGGCGAACTTGTAGTACTTCTGGAACGCCCAGAACTTCTCGATGCCGTAGAGCTGGCCGTTCTCGTAGTCCTTGATCGTCTCCTCTTGGAAGTCGTCGTAGAGCTGAGGACGGAACTTCACCTCCAAACCGTAGGAGTAGAAACGGAACAGGCACTCGAGCCCGTAGCGGTAACCGATCGCTGCGTCCTCTAGCGCCAGCGTTTTGAACTCGTTGTACATTGTGCGGTTGAAGTTCTCGCGCAAGAAGAACGACCAGAAGCGGAACAGCGTGTTCATCTCGTTCGACTGACCGATGCCGAAACGTTTCCTCTCTAAACACGCAAAACGATTTTAGCTCGCAATTCATTCATTCGCATCTCAAACGTTAGAACATAATTTAAAGGTTATTATTATGGCAAGAAGAGATAAGAGCAATAAGGGTACTATATTCTACATAAACGTGAAAATATCTCTCATTTAAAAACATAAATAACAAAGCTTTAAATTATGAGTCGGTGTAAGTACCTTTTAAACACTTTTGTCTGAACTTATGGTAAGCCTGCTGTGTGAAGTTATTCTCTTTAAGTAGAGAATGCGAGGGGTGTTGGAACGTAGGCAATGCTTGGGGTACACTACCATAGCTTGTGCCTAAATGATTCTCAATAGGACTAGTACCATAGCTACTACTACAAGAGAGAGATAAATTTATTGATTAACCAGATCGGCAACATTTTAAACCAAAAACTAACTTTACTTTTCCGAAGGTTTTCGACGAGCTGAACCGTGTGCTACCACATCACGTCAGATTTTTCAGAAATTTTAAAATAAAAGTGCTTGTATGTTTGAGATAATTTTTCTGAAAGTACTACTACTTTTCCCCTTTAAAATTCATTTTTGAATTCATGGATTTTGAAGGGGGAGAGCAGTAATTTATCAATTTTCTGAATCTTCAGATAAATTGACTTTGGCATTTATTCTCATATTATTCGTACTACAGATACTACGGGAGTACCATTGCAACCCATATATTGTTTAAGTTCTAATATTTTGAGGGTGTTTTGTACCATTAAAAAATTGATATTATCTTAATTCCAACACTCGAACACAAGAAGAATAAATGAGCCTGACATATACTTCAATAATGCTCGAGATAAAACTCAATTAAACTACACTAAATAGCAAATTTTAAACCGTTTAGATAATTAAAATCAGTACAGTAAAAGAGGAGTTATGAATTTTCTTAATAAAGAGTGTAAAATAATTTAATCAATTAAAATAACGTCAAAGCGGTTTTTTCTTCAGAAACATTGTTTTCCTTAATAGAGATTGTCTATTCTATATTACTGCAAGCAGTATTACTTCTAACGTTATTGGGTCGGGAAGTATTTTGGTCCAACCTTGGAGTTTGTATGCTACTATGGTGTCTTTAAGACACTTTAGATGGCGACACTTGTCCAACTCTAAAACACCTTTACCAATCTTTATAAAATTTTGGATAAAATACTTTTAGAGAAAATATCTTTAAGGGAAATTTTTTTAAGTAAATAAAAATTTGCTGTGAAAGACCGTATTTTTGTTAGTATACCCTGAATCAAACAAATCAAACGAACAGTAAAGAAGTTATTTTTAGAACGTTTTTTATTATTAAATAAAAGGGCTTTAAAAATATTTTCTAGAAAAACCCCCGAACACGTAAACTGAGATATAAGTTGAAGTATTTTTATACAAAATTTCATAAAGATTGGTTAAGGCGTTTTAGAGTTAGATTTTTTAATACGAGTATTGTATGCAACCCATTATACATTTTAAGATGTGTCTACTGCTCCTCAGCAGCAACTAAATAATATTTTAAAAAAGCACCGTCGCGAAGGTCGATTGGACCCTTTCATAAAATGTTGTTTAATAAAAATAAGTTAATTTTATTAATTAGATTAAAAAATCGCCGCTGCGGGCAAATATATCATAACCGTCGCAACAAATAGTATACGTAGACACTTCCTACATTCAAATGACATTTGATTTGATCATCAATATTAATTATTAGTATTATTAAATGTGATTTCGGATAAAACTTAATATGCACCTCGGAATTAGTCATTTTTTATCACTTACGTGGTTATTTATAATTTCCACATTCGTGATAAAAAATATGACTTTACTACCTTGATACATAAATAACTATTAATAGTTAAATTAAACTAAAAAATAACCTTTGAATTTACCTTAAGGTTAAAGCAACCAATAAAGGGTTATTTTTTAGTTTGTAGTTACTTTTAAAAAATGCCAATCAACTAATTGGTTAAAAAACGTTATTTTACTTGGATTTGGGTTAATTTACCTAGATTACTAGTTATTTAACCAGTATAGCAATTTTTTTTCGACGCTTTAAAACGCTAATTGCAATGTCGGATGTTCGATTTCAGCGGAGCAAAAACCTTTAAAAATTTCGAAAAAAAAATCCTGGGTTATTTTTAAGTTCGTAGTTACTTTTAAAAAATGCCAATAGTGGAATCAACTAATTGGTTAAAAAACGTTATTTTACTTGGATTTGGGTTAATTTACCTAGATTACTAGTTATTTAACCAGTATAGCAATTTTTTTTTCAGTTTGTGCGTTTTTTTTTTCGACGCTTTAAAACGCTAATTGCAATGTCGGATGTTCGATTTCAGCGGAGCAAAAACCTTTGGAAATTTCGAAAAAAAAAATTTTTTTTTTTTCGGATGTTTGAATTAAGCGGAGCAAAAACCTTCGGAAAGTAAAAGTAAATTTAGCCGGGCTGTGTTGTCGTTTTTGGTCGTTGCGAGCAACTTACCTCGCGGAGCTTGTACGCATTCGATGCTCTCTGACGTCCATAATCCATCCGACGTGCTGCTCGACCGGCGGGTTGCTCGAGTGGCGCGTTTTGCGCTTCCTGGGCGTCGTCGGGTCCGGCTCTTGCTCGTCCTTGACGACCGCGTAGAACCTGTGCACGTTCCGGTGCCCTCTGTTCTGGTTCCTCCTGCTCCTGCTGCCCGACGGCTGATCTCTGCCGTCGTGCTGCGCTTTTTCGACCAGCGGCGGCGGCGGCGGCGGCACCTCCGGATTCTGCTTGCGAGGAGCTGGCGGCGCGATCTTCTGAAAGTCCTCCTGGCTGATGATCTGCACGGTTTTGTAGCTGCCGCAAGAGGCGCGCGGATCGTCCGACTGCACCCACAGGTCCTCCTCGTAGTACGAGAGACCGTCGTTGATGGCCTGCTCGAGGTCCTGCGTGATCTTGACGCGCGTCGACCAGTCGCCTGTGCGATCGTAGCCCTCGTGCTTCGGCACGCGGAACGACGGCGCTTGCGTGACGATCAACAGCTTGTTGATGTCCTTGTCGCTTAGCTCGTCCGAGTCGTCCTCGAGCCAATCGTTCGAGAACGTGTTCTGCCTGCCAGTCGGCACTTCTTCCAGCTCCTCGTCAAAGTGAAAATCCAGCTCCTCGCGTTCGAAACTTTGCTCCTTCTTTCGATCGTCCTTCTTGCTTTTGTTCTCCTTGTTCTTTCGCTTCACCTCGCGCCAGTTTTCTTCCGTCGCGTTCTTCGAATCGCCGTTAGCGTTCTGTTTGATGTTGTTGTTCTTGTTGTGATCGATTTCGAGCGGCACGAACTCGGCCACGTCGGGATTCAAGTTCTCCATCGCTTGATCGCGCAACTTTTTCGGCAACGGCGGCGGAGGGACCATGTGCGATATGATTTCCTGCTCTTTGACGCCGTTCTTGTCGGAGATCGGCCACTTGGTCGGATCGTGCTTCGCGCGCACCCTGAAGCACGGCGTCAGCTCGATCTTATCCGAAGTACTGATCGCTTCAACTATCAGCGATATGTTGCTTGTGAGTGCTTGCACGCGGTGGAACGAGGCGATCAGCGTTATTGGTAAGTAACCCGCAGGGTCCATCTTCCTTCTCAAGAAGAAGTCCCTCGACAAATTATCGTCGCTGAAGTAGTATTCACTGAAAACAAATTTGTTTACAACAATTAAAAACAATTTGTTTGAAGGTGGTAGACAATTAGAAACATATTTTTGGACTTCCATTGTCTTTTTTTATGATTAATTTACAACGTTTCAATTGCTAAGAATCTGCAATCGTCTTCAGGTGATAATGACAAATTTAAAAACTACGAGATTATTTATACTATTGGTATTTGTTTCGCTTGATCCGGAAACGTTGTGAATTAATAATAAAAAAGACAATGGAAGTCCAAAATCAATTAAAAACCAGTTCTTAAGAAATTATTTCTGATTATACACGGAAAAAAATGTTTTCTAAATGTAAGAATACCTTTATTCTTAAAAAAATTCATTTGATTTTAGTATAATTTGCTTAGGCTATACTTAAATTAAAAAGATTTTATTTCTTAGCTTAAAATCAAGTACAGTTGACCTAATATTGTCAAGGCTAAAACTAACATTAAAATAAATATTAATCTTTCTTTAAACAAGCAGATCCTGTTAAATGTTAAGAAAGACTTTAAATGAAATAATCTTATTCTTAATTTAAGATTAACAATCGATTAGACCTAATTTTGGAAAATTCCCTCTATTCTGTTCTTAAAAATATATAACAATACTGGATTTAAATATAATTGGTAAATATTGGTACGACTAGCCTATTCTAAAAAATATCCCCCACTCACAAAAGTGTCCGACATTTTAGAAGATTGTTTCTTGTGTTAGTTAATATTTGGTTTGAAATTATGAAAGAGCTGCTAAATTAGTGGATTTTGATTAACCACCAAATTATTACATAATTATATTTATGTGTTGTGTATTGAATTTTAGATGTTGAAGTTGGCCTAAAAATCACATAAAAACAATGATGTATATTTTACCTCTAGATTATAGGTACGAATAAAATTTTTGGTTAAACAGGCCAATATAGCCAAAAAATGTCCGTCTCGCAAACAAAAACAACGTGTCTGAAGGTTTGAAAAAACAATTGCAGTATATATTAATTATATACAGACTGTATAGAATCAAGTAAGTAAGGCTGGAGACAAGGATGACAAATTATATTCTGATCAGAGAAAAAGAAACAAACTTTAGTTGGGCGTGCTTTAAACCAAGCCATTCGTAATTACGAACCATAGTTGCCAGGTTGTTTTAAATCAGAAGAGAACGATTATAATTATTTAATAAGTAGTTTAATTTTATTTGTTTGAAACTTTAAAAATAACAAAAAAATTAATAATATGTCAAAAATAATTTGATTAAGTTAATTTTCTTACTTTTTATATTAAAAAATAAGAAAACAACCCTTTTAGGAAACAATAATAGCATATGGCAACAGCGCGGCATGCAGCCAGATAAAAGGGCATACAGTGGGCGGGGTTTGGCACTTGTTTTATTTAAGTATATCTATTCGTTTTAATACACACTGTATATAGGTAGATAGGTATTTGAAACATTGTAAAAAAGTTATGTAATAAAGGCAATGCTATAGACCAATATAATTTTTTTCAGGTTAAGTTAAGCGATAATTGTTTCAAATATTGTCTATTCTTTTTTTAATTTTCCTCGACTTTAAAGGTTAGGATATAATGACCATGTTTATTTTAAAAGGTAAGGAGTGGATTATCCTATCTATTTTTCTCTATCTATCAGTCTTGGAAAAAAAGAGATAGCAAAATCCACTCTTTTCTTTTTGAAATAAACATGGTTATTATATCCTAACCTTTATTTAAAGTCGAGCAAAAGTTAAAAAAAAGAATAGACAATGTAGGAACTCCTAAAAAAAATTCCGTGACAAAAGTGGTCATGCTACACAAACTCTGGTAGGTAATCACTTATCTTATGTTTGAGTTAGAGGGAGTTCAACTTACATATTCATACAGACAGGGTGGGCCAATGGAAAGTTTCCACCCTGATTTTCTCAGATGATACGCAAAAAACATAATATTTTTAATTTTCAACCCCTTCAATTTTTTAAGATTTCTCATTTTAAAGGTCTTTCCCACATTTTGATCTTTTTCAATATAAAATGTGATAATTAAAACTCATAGCTGTAATCCAAGGTTTAAGTATTCGATTAAAAAAATTTGAATGTTTTTGATGGTTATTTTTGGGTATAGCACACCCAAATAACCCTGGAAGAGTTGTTGGATTCCCTGTGTCAAACAAAAAATTTCATTACTTTTAAGACCTATTGTACGAAGAATTGTTTCTTTATAAATAATCTTGTTTAATGCGTTAAACCCTTTTTGAACACCACTAAATAAAGTTTACTCACATTTGGTTCCTGATGTACTCTTTTAAGGTCGGTCCATCAAGATTCAAGTAATTGTTTGAGTTAAAGTAGTAAGTGCCCATGTACGGTAAGACGAACTTCTGGTTGTCCAAGGTTGGAGGGAATTTGGCGAGCTGCGAGAAATCCGGTAGTTCCCCGTCGATACCGTTAGGAGTTCTGGGCCCCCTCGGGAAAGTGCCTCTCCGTGCGCCCCTGGTTCTACCGCGACCTCTCGGCGCAGCCGAAGCAGGCCTCTGCGCAAAGAAAGAGAACATGGAGAAAACTGAACCTTCACCTCGCCAAAGTTTTTTGTTTTCGAGTGCGTTCCACCAACTTGGTGTAGTGGAACACACCCAAAACAAAGGACCGCATGAGCTTATATACTAAGCTTGTAAGCCAACAAAGGCGAGATGTAAGATCCATCTTCAATTCTTTCTTATGAATATTACCAGCTTCTTGGATGTTTATTTTTATTAGGTATCTAAAAGAGAACGCTTTTAAAGCAAAGCACTTACCGTGTGACTGTTTCTTCCGTTTTGATGATAGCTGGGCGCGCTCATGGACTCCGATCTCCAGTCGCGGTCGCCCTCGCTGACCGTCGATTGGGCGTCGTGGTTGCGATCGTTCCGCCTTCGTTGATGATCGGCCTTGTTCGCCTTCAGATCGATCTCGAGCGGCACCCATCGTTGCTTAGCGTTCTTCTTCTTGTCCTTGTCGCTCTCTTGCTCTTGCTGCTCCTGAATCGACGTCGACGCTTGCGGCTTATCTGACTTCGATGTCGCGCTCACCGGACTGTGAGACCGTCTCGACGACGGCTGCTGCTGGTTCGGCAGAAAAAATAACAAAATTATCGAATGATATTTTCCGGGCTAAATAACAAATTTTCTTTGGGAATTTTTTTTGTGAAATTTTAGGAGAAATAAAGTATGCAAATGAATTTCAGAAAAAAACAAATAATTCTTTTTAACAAAAATATAAATATAACTTATTTTGTACAAATAGTTTTTAAGCCAAATCGCTCGACGAGTTTTTTTGAATAAAATTAAAAGAAAGGTAAAATTTATACTTTTGTATATACACTCTAAAATTTTGGACAAAAATACTTTAACTTATATCTCAGTTTACGTTTTCAAGGGTTTTTCGAAAAAATATCCTAAAGCCCTTTTATTTAATATTAAAAAAACGCTCGAAAAAATACTTTTATATGGATTTTTTTTAAAGTAAATAAAAAATATGCTGTTAAAGACCGTATTTTTGTCAGTATAACCTGAAAAATTTGTACAAATCAAATGAACAGCAACGAAGATACAGCGATTCAAAGTCGTCAAAAATGACCACTTTTCAGCAGTTAATTTTCGTTTAATTTGTACAAAATTTTCAGGGTATACTAACAAAAATACGGTCTTTAGCAGCATATTTTTTATTTACATAAAAAAATTACCCTAGAAGTTATTTTTCGAACGTTTTTTCATTATTAAATAAAAGGGCTTTAAAAATATTTTCTCGAAAAACCCTCGAACACGTAAACTGAGATATAAGTTGAAGTATTTTTATCCAAAATTTCATAAAGAATAATAAAGGGGTTTTAGGGTTAGATTTTTTTACAGTGGTTGCAAAAATTATGGCCAACATTTATCTGTATACACAAGTAGAAATTTCACTACACTTTTTATTTAAAAAACGCGTCGATAGATTTGGCCAAAACCAAATGAAAAAAAGGGAAAAAAATGTTAACCGTTTAGTTAATAACTAACAATAATTGTAATGTGGATCTTAATACTCAAAAATCTCATAATAGAAAAAATATGAAGTACCTATGCAAAATACAGCAAAGCATTCTTTAGATTGTTATTTAAAAGAAAATTAAAAATCTTTTTGTTTGATATATAACACGGTATATTTTAGTCTAAAACAAATGAAATATCGCTAAAAATGACAAGTCTAGGAACTATTACTTGGATTTTGTTTTTAGGTATATTTTGTTGTCTTTTATGAAAAATGTTGGTTGTAATATTATATCATTTAAAAAAAATTCATAGACTAGAACTAAACATATATATTTACAAATTACTTTTCAAAAAAGAATTTTTTTAACACGACAACTAACTTAATTAAACGCAGTTGCCCTATTTACACTGCCCGTCAAAATTAACGCATAATAAGTAAAAAAATTCTAACTCTAAAACTCCTTTACCAATCTTTATAAAATTTTGGATAAAAATACTTAAACTTATATCTCAGTTCACGGTTTCAAGGGTTTTTCGAAAAAATATCCTTTAAGCCCTTTTATTTAATATTAAAAAAAAACGCTCGAAAAAAAACTTTTCTAGGGAATTTTTTTTAAGTAAATAAAAAATATGCTGTTAAAGACCGTATTTTTGTTAGTATACCATGAAAATTTTGAACAAATCAAACGAACAGTAACGAAGATACAGCGCTTCAAAGTCGGTAAAAATAATCAAAAAAGGGTAATTTTTACCGACTTTGAAGCGCTGTATCTTCGTTACTGTTCGTTTGATTTGTAAAAAAATTTCAGGGTATACTAACAAAAATACGGTCTTTAACAGTATATTTTTTATTTACTTAAAAAATTACCCTAAAAGTTATTTTTCGAACGTTTTTTTTCATTATTAAATAAAAGGGCTTTAAAAATATTTTCTCGAAAAACCCTAGAAAACGTAAACTGAGATATAAGTTGAAGTATTCTTATAAAAAATTTCATAAAGATTGGTAAAGGCGTTTTAGAGTTAGAATTTTTTTACTTATTATGCGTTAATTTTGACGCGCAGTGTACTTATATTTAATTTTTAGGAGTTTTAGGAGGTGTGGGGGACCTGTATTTTATAACTTTAAAACATAGATTTTTAAGCCTTACTCAGAACCTCGTAATTAGTAGTTTCGATTATACTTATAATTAACACAAAACGATTATTCACAATGCTAAAAGATCGTCCATTCTTCTTAACCTGACATAGGTAAACAATATTAATTATATTAAAAAAATATTTTTTACAACCATTATAATAATATTTATATAACCTTACCTTCACTGAAAATCCTCCAACTTTTACATTTGACATAAAATGTCGGCGCACATGCGCAAAGGCGCTTTCCAATTATAATTAGTGGCAAAAGTACTACCACTATTTTTTTGGTTGTGAACAACACTGTGTATACTTTTACGTTAATTGAAATCACTAATTTATTCCGCTAATGACGAGGTTCTGAATGAGGCTTTATCCTTTGGAATTTAAAATTAGTGAGGTTTAGTAAAATGTTAATGAAACTATGAGGGTGATAGTAAGTGACGACATATTATGTTGGTTAAAATTACAATTAAAAATTTTCACATTTTTGGATTTGGAAGCATGGATGATAGCGTTAGTGGGCATTAAATAATGAATTATTTAATATTTAATGCATGATTCAATAGTTGGAATGGTTATTGCTGCATAAACAATAGTTTGCTTATCAAATGGTATTAAATCGTAAAAAAATTCAGCAATTAAATTGAAGATAACAAAAAATTACCGATAAACCTTTTATTTATTTTCCGACCAAAAAGTACAATTCTCGGATAAAATAAATAAAAAATTAAATTCTTGCATACCAAGGTGCGACAATTGCAAATGCATTTTCTATCATATAAGAATCAAATATTTTTAAATACGTTTAATTAAAACTTCGGATACCGTTAGAACTACATAAAATAAATATGTTTGCAAGGTCAATTGGCAGCCACATTACTATTTTAATATTCGCTTTATGAATTTTTAAAATGTGGAATTATATATCAAAACATCGATTTTGTTCTAGTCGATTAAATTGCTTACTTTAACGACTTTTTAAGTTTCCATAAGTTATATTTAATTGCTTGAACCGTAAAAAGTCCAACAATTAAATTTCGGTATCGATAGGATATATGTATATTTAATTTTTTACTTAAATATTCGTTTATAGCGTATTACAAAAGATGCGCAAACATGTTTTACCACATGTTTTAACAAAATATTTTTTTACTGAACATCATCATTTCGCTTACAAATGCAAAGCCCAAATGATGCTCCGTCGTCGCTGCAAAATATCCCCACTCTATTTCAAGGCGTTCCGATGCACTAGGCACTGTATACCTTTAGCGTAAAAACGAATGCGTAACCGAAATGAAGATTTATTGGCTAATAAATCGATAAAATATGTATTGATTATGCCATTCTAGTTAGTTTGTAGGTGGGGTGAGTATTTGAAATATAAATAAACAAATACGTTTGCCAAGAAATAAAAATTCTGCGTTTAAAAATAGAGTAGAAAACAATACTAACCTCAGAATGATCGCCTAATGTGGGCCAATCCAATATATCACTAAAATCACTAGCCTGAAAATTAAAGAAAATCAAATATATGCATTACTAAGTTCAAGGTAAATTAAAAAAAAAACACGTTCTCCTATAATAAGAGAGTATGTATTAGGTAATAATATTAATATTTTGCACGAACGATAATTGAAAAAATTGTTTTAATTCGGTTGACCCTTTGTAACCCAATGTTATTCAAAATACGTATTAATATACATAACACAATTCTGATAGTAACACCAGCTTTGCATAACTCTTTTTATCTAATATTTATTTAAAATGAATTAAATTTATAAATTCTATACAAAAACTGCGTAAGTTATCTTTTTGATGCGCGTATTCTTTAATTTTAAAACTTTAATTGCCGGATTAGAATTTCTTATAAGTTAAAAGAAACACGTGCCATATTTGAAATGAATAAATAAATAAGTGTAATTTTTTATCTAATTAAAGTTTCAAGACACGAAATGCAGCGACGTTCGACACTCTTTTTAAATATAATATCACTTAATGCCGAGCATTTATTTTTAGAAGCTAGTTGTTTTTAGAATCACGTGGAATTCTGATAGCAATTTTGAAAGAGAAGAACAAAAAAACAGAAATACCTTTTTCCTGGTTGTCACTAATAATACCATGGTTATAAGGGAACGTTATCCATGTGTTCACTATAACTCTATAAATTTACATTTACTCGAGACGCGATTAAAATGTTTTTAAAAACAGGTTTTGACGTAGCTATATACTAAATGAAAAAAAACATGGCCCACCAGTTAATTTAAATAAAAATAGTTTTGTCTGCTTACGTTTATAAACTGTTTATAAACGGTATAAAGTCAGGTGAGTTTGATTTTTGCTGAATTACATAAATAAATAAATGGAAAATAATGATGGTTACTTATCTACAAACATTTAACTGTGGAACTCAAAACTGCAAGTATAAAGTCATAAAAAAATAATGATATGGATAGTGTAGCTGTTATAAAGTCATCAGTTGTTTGTTTTGTTGGGCAGTAGACGTAAAAAGCGCACGTTTATTTTTACTTCTTGTTTTGTGTACCAAAATACAAAACAGAAAACTAAGTGGCGGTCTAATTTTCGTAAATTTTAATAAAATAAAATAAAACGGTTTCTAAATAAATCATTTTGCCGAATATTTCAAGATTAAGAAATCGAGGTCACTAGCATAAATTAACAATTAAATATATACATACATAAGTTGTCATACCTATAAAACAGGTCCTATCACCGACACAAATTATATAAAAATTGATAAACACAGAAAATTATTCAACAATCAGTTGAATTAATTAATGCATTCTATTTCTAATTACATAATTTGAAGGAAAAAACACTGAAATTTTATGATAGAAATTACATAATACATGATCAAGTACCTAATTAGTTTGAACAACAAGAAATGTGAACAAGTATTAAAAGCTGGGGATTAAAAAATTTTTATGATATAAATAATGCTATGAGTATGTTGATTTTTTTAAAGATATAAATAATGCTATAAGTACCTACATGAGATATGTGATAAAAATTTTCAATATTTTATCAATAAAAAGTAACATTTTTATTTTTATTATTTCACCCAATAATTATTTCAAACAAAGCAACATTAATCATGTCAGTTAAGCGGTTATATACTAAAGCATAGACATACATACCTTCTGATTTACTCGTTTTTTGTCTTTGGGAACTTTTATGGGTCCATTGGTGATGGGCAATGGCATTGGTTTCTTCTGCATTACGACAGGCTTAACTTCGGGTAGAGCTTCTTTGGCGTTTTTCACCTGCCACGGATTCACCTTGGGTATCGGAGCAGCCACAAACACTTTCTGCTTGTCGGAGGAGCTCTCCTCCTGCGAAACCTCCTTCAAGGGTTCCTTCTCCTTTTTCTCATGCCGATCATGCTTGTCAGGTTTTTCGTGGAAACCATTGACATTGGGTTTTTTCTCGCGTTTGTGCTTTTCAGTTTTCCTCTCCTTACGACTGTGGCTTACCACTGGAGTGAAGGAACTGTCATCGTCGACGGTCTCGTTTGAGGTTGTTTCGGAAGGTTGGGGCTTTTCCGTAGCCTGGGCTGCCGCTTGGTGCTTTTTGTTCGCGTGCGTTTTGGCCTTCGCAGGCAGCGCACATTCGGGAACGTTTTCCTTCTGAACGACGTTCTCCTTTTGGACAACGTTCGTGTTTACATTCGAAACCGACTGGGTTTTCGAAACAGCATGTGCGTACGAAGGTCCGACATCCTTATTATTACCAATGTCATCCCCCAATCGCGGGTTATTTGACGATGTTTTGACATGTTTATCCATACTTGTGTTTCTTCGCTCAAAACGATCCAACACATGCACAATTACCAATATTTAACGATTCTATGAACAATATGGAGTGTAACCATGTTGTTCAAAAACGCATGGTATCCATGTCCCCTATATACCATTCAACACACGACAACACTGCACATTTAAGCTAAAAACACTTTGTTATATAACACTGACAAATGTTCAGCTCTAGTTTATATCAACTAACTACAACTAACTAATCGAAATAGTTTACTTTACTAGCACATTCACAGAGCGGTCATGCTTTGTACAACTCTCTGGTGATCTTTTGCTATTTGGGATTTTTATTTTTCCCAATATAGCCAACATAAACATTATTCAGCGCCAAATTCAAATTTCACGCGACACGCATGCCTTCTAACCAAATCACCAACACTGTTGCCAAGTCTACTCAAATGCAGTTAATCTAGAAAAAAACAAATCTTGTAATTTAGGAATATCAACTTTAGCTAGTATAACTGCTTAAATAATTTTACGTTAAGCTAGATATAGATGTACTTAGAATGTCTACCTAAGCTAGATATAACTATTTTTTCACAATTCCAAAACACTAGATCTATTGAAAAACGGTAAATCTTGCAACACTGACGCTAACCAACCACCATTAGCATTTCCCGTAAAAATTGAAATAAAAAAAATGCTTTTAATCCCATATTTTCTACCTGCTATATGTAGATAATCTAAATTACCCCACTAAAATATTTCCAATATAATTTTAAATACGTTCTTAAAAGCAAAACTCACGCGGGAATTTTAAAAATGCATCCCTAGATTAATTAATTGTATGGAATTTATACTATGAAATACATCATTATAGTTCTTACATTATTTACGGTATTTACAAGCAGCATAGGCGGAGTAGGTATACTACGCACAAAATTGGAACAACCGACCAAAAATGGCCAGGTTCTATTGATCCAACCATATATAATTTAAGTATTATGGATATTTATTATAAAATCAATGTTATTTATTTGTACAAATGACTGTATTGTTTTTTAAATTAAATTTAAATTGCTAAATTATTCAAACAAATTATATTTGTCTATGGTTTAATGATTTTTAAATAATTTTTAAATTCATTTTATAGTTTTTAAAAATAACAGTTGCGCCAATCAAGGATACATGTACCAGGATAGTCAACACCGTTGATTAATTTTTACTGTTTGTTGACTAGTATTATAAGAAAATTGTGTTTAGTAATTTTTTGATGGATGAATAAATAGTACTATTATTAAATATATTTATTAATATTAATAATAATATTAACAATACCTATTAATATTATTATTATTAGGTATCTTAAAACCTAGCTATTAAGAATAAATAAATTCATTTACCGCCCATTTTATTTCAAAAATAACACAATTATTAACAATATAATGTGGCTGTTGCAAAAAGGCGCAAACTGTAATAATCTAATAGGTCACAGAACATAAGTAATAGGTGGTACATCGTATCACGCGAACTCTGCAACGAAGTTTAATTTTTTCTTCAATAGATGGCACCACAAATAATGTAGTATGAGTGGTTACTCATAGATGGCGCCAGGACTCAAAGATTAGTAATCTTAGATTACATACTTAAGTAAGTATATGAAAGATTGATAGAAATCCATTTGTGTAGGACGACAAATTTCATTTCATGGCGGGCATTTTCGATTATCTTCATGGTCATCCCGCAATTATACAAACAATATTTTTCATGCCAAATTTCATCAAAATCAGTTCAGCCGTTTCAAAAATGGCGAATGCGCCGGGATGAATTATAACCTTAAGGTTAAATTGTTGCTAATTAGCAACAATTTAAGTATTTGTTACGTATATGGGACTATTGAAGAAACTTTAAAGTGTTTTGCGACAGTTTCGGTCTCTTTATATTACTATTTCGTTACTAAGTTACGACTAAAGTGGGGAACAATCATTGAGTTTCAAAAAGGTAGCAAATGTCACTAGCTATAAACCCTGCTATTTGGAACGTAGCTGCTACGTTACTAGAACGTTTCAATATCGTTGCTAGAGCGTTATAATTACTTTTATTTTTTGTTTTTACTTCTATATTAACTGTCTTTATCAAACTTATACGAGGTGTGTTCAGAAAATATCGGGAATTTTCGTTTTTTGAAAGAAATATTTATCTTCCAATACTCGAAACACTTCTAAAACTCGATCTTTGGTATAGCCTTTAGTTCTTTTAGCGATGCGCTTTTAATGTCATCTATGCTTGCAAAACGACGGGCCTTTAAGGTTCTCTTTATTTTTGGGAATAGGAAAAAGTCAGACAGAGGCATGTCTGGCGAATATGGAGTCTAGGGCATCATTACAGTATTGTTTTTGGCCAAAAATTTTGTTCAAAATTTAACAATATTAGAACAAATTTTGCTGTCACGCGTTTCATACCCAAAAAATTCGAAAAAATTTCATGGGATGAGCCAATCGATATACCAACATCATCAGCGACTTCTCTGATGGTTTATAACCATTTCTTCCACTTTTTACATGTTTTTATCGGTTGTTAATGTGCTTGTACGTTCGGGGCGTTCGTCATCTTCAACGTCTTCACGCGGTCATCTTGGAAACTCTTATACCACTTGTAAACTCAAGTTTTACTTATAGCAGACTCACTATAGGCCTTTGTTAACATTTCACAGAATTTATTTCATTTTTTAAGTAAAATTGGATACAAATTCTTTGATCCATTTCTTTTAACGAACGAAAAATCGCCGAGCTCATAAAACACGTCTAACCTTAGCGGCTGCCACAGACAAAGTAAACAATGAAAACAGCCAAAGTTTATATCATACTTCGGGGGCGCGAAATTTAATAATTCCCATTATTTTCTGAACACACCTCGTACATTTTTCTGAGTGTGGAAAATTGCTTCAACGCCGAGAACGCTGCAATAATTTAAGGAATTTTGTATATAGGGTGTTAAAATAAAAGAGTAATAAGTGAAGTTTAACAGCAGTTTATCAAATAAACACAAATTGACATTTTATATAATATTTATAAAAAACATAAAAAGTCTGATATCTAACAAAATAGTAAAAATGAGGAACTTCGTTTTGAAGTTGTTTAAAAATCTTACCTCAAATTGACTAACAAACATATAAAAGTGTATAAAATAATTATAAAAACAATTTAAATATTTTGTAAAGACGCATTACAAAAAAATAATACAATAATATTAATAATTAATAGTTCTACTTTGGTGCTAGTCAAAGAGCCATGTCAGTTGAAACGGGCAAAAACCGAAAAAACTGAGTGGCCAACAATAAGAATCCGAACAAATTGACTATCCCTAATCGGGCTAAAATTCACCTATCATCCATCTCATCTTGCGTAAAGATGGTCGACACAGCCCGATGCATATTGCACTAACGGTAACTACAAATTTTCAGAAAATGATATTAAATCAACAATTGGCCAGATATACACTGCAACCAGCTGTCCCAGGACAGTCTCTGATGTTGATGTTATATATTTTCTATGCAAAATAGCTTTGCAACCCTCTGCCAGCTTCATTTTACCAACAAGATTTTTAAGTCTTTCTTGACGCTAGCGTTCTCAACGTAGAACAAACAGTCTGACGGTGTTTGCAAAATTATTTCAGCTTTCCATTCCATGTTAGAAATAGTAAACAACTAAAAAGCCTTGAAAACAGTTATAAAAAGTAAAAAATATACAACTTTAAAGACTTCCAATAAATACGGAGTTTACATATGAAAATATGAAGACGGCCAGTTTGATTTCTGACCGCTGCATTCACTTTTAAATCTCATAAACGGATAAAAAGTTATATAATCATTAGATAAAAACGACAAATGTCTACAGATTTGATACAAATGTCTCATCTCATTCCATCCACGAGCTGTCTCCTCCTTGGGGGGGAGCAATAATATACAAACAGTAGAAAAAGGAGTGTAAATGTTTAAAAATCATATCGACATTACATTATGTTTTTTGTACCATTTTGTAGATGGTTGATTTACATTTGTGTGATGAATGCTGAAGCGACAAGCCAAATTTCCCCAACAGTAGTCAGTCTGTTCAAAAAATCCTATTCACTTTTCTTAATATTGGTATTAGTTTAGTTTGGAAATACTTTGGCATGACATTGTCCTATCACATTTTCTATAAACAGACAATCATACAGTATACAGCACGATCAACACATTCTCTTTCTATCTTTGACTAGTTGGAAGCTAAAACATTACCTAAATAACTAACAAAAAACCCACAAAAAATAACAAATTACTATACACTATTTACATCTACGTCAATCTAAACCTCGCTAGATCTTAATAGGATGTTAAAATTAATTATATAGAATAGAAAAATCCTCCTTTGACACGCTTTTAATCGCCACCAAACCAATCAAATTTACACACCAGACTAGCTGCATGTTTTGCCAAACGACTTTGTGTGCACAATGATTGATTTGTTGGTAATCTGTCTTAAGCATAACCAGTCTTTTAGTCATACCTTGGTACTCTCAACTAATCTGTTTGGTTGCCTGTTCATAAGCTGTTTTGTCACTTAGCATACATTTATCAATTACCTAGGAATTATTTAATGATTTACAATTAAAGATAAACTCTACAGCACCAAGAAAACCAATTTACAATGGCCGTCCCGGTACAAATTTATTGCACACATCAAAATTTACTAATCACCATTTATAACAGTTTAGTATAAAAATTCAAATTTAAAAAATACAAAGTCTTAGAGTAGCTGATACTATATATATATATATATAATAATATATACTATACATATCCGTGCAATTCATTTAATACATTAAGACGTCTATGGTATCACACATGAAAAAAAGGATGGTATAAAATGCAAATAGCAAGTTGGCGGACAAAAAGCAGGAAGCAAAAGGAGCCAAAGGATGCTACCTCTCAATCCAACCACCACAAGTACCAATGCAAGCAGCCAAATCGAAAGGGTTCGGGGTTAGGTGAATTACTATAGGCAGGGACCGGCGGCTAATACCCCCACTTTTTTTCCTCTCATTTTGATCATGATCAATCAAAACGTCCAATAAGATTGTAATTGTAGATCGGATGTGCCGGTGGAACACTCAACCAAGCCCCAAACAAAAATTGTTAATAGGATATAACCTCTTTTGTTTGATACTTTTTTAAAACGTTTCGTTGGCAATCACTATAGGTATACCTTATTAGACTTAATTGACCCATAATTTCGACGATTCGTGAACTGAACAATTTTTCATTCGTATTTAGTAGTAGTATATTTAGTTGCTGCTGAGGAGCAGTAGACACATCTTAAAATGTATAATGGGTTGCATACAATACTCGTATTAAATCGGCTTTACTGTCGATTGTTGACTACTTTACTGCCGATTTCGGATAAAATTATTTTTTTGTATGTGGTCTTTTGTCGATTTAATTTCTTAAAAAAAAAGATAACCCATACAGCACAAGATGTCCAGTGGACGTCAAATGGACGTACAATGGTCGTCCGCTGGACGTCCAATGGATGTATGTGCTGTGTGGGAAGTATGTCATTTGGATGGCTTAAACCTCGTAAGCAAAATAGAGCAATGTTTTGTCGAATAAAAAAGTGTTCAGTAAGCCAGAGACCGATGTGTCTTGGTGCTGAGGCATTTTGATGAATAATCATGAAGAATGTGGATTGTGACCGCCGGTGTCAGGTACATGGGACTAATTGGTCGCCGGGCTAAGCGTTAAAAACGACCTTGGCCGCGCAGCAGTGCGCAGATTAGACTAGTATTTACAATACCCTGAAAGTTCTGACTACGCAGCATCGGCAGATTTAATTCCCGATGCGCTAACATTAACATGTACATAATAAAGTGGCCTGCCGAGACTGCTGCGCAAAGCCATGGAGGTCTTCTCACTCGCTACCATAAGGCGCCGTACAGAATTGGTTAGATAATTGATTACATTACATGTATTCCGTATATAAATATGTATAATTGCTACTAGATAATTATTATGCCTATGCACTCAGCAGACTGCTAGCCAAGAGCACTCAGTCGGCAAGTCATTCAAATAATAAACAACCAAACGATTACCTATACACCAATATTTTTTGCTCGCCACCAAGTCACCAGGGTATGGTAATAAGCTAATCAGCAACATGGCGGCGGTATTATCATTAGTACATCTAATAATGGTACTCCAGTATTGCCCATTTCATAACAATTTACACATCGAATAAATCTTCTCAAAAATACGTTAATTTTAACTAATTATAAAAGTTACACCTTTAATCTACAAGAAAATTGCGCTTCGAGTCCTGCTTTTTCAAGCAAAACCTACCGCTACTTTGATAAACGAATCGCAGTTAAAACGGAGCACGGTGTGTATGTTTAGGCAACACCTCTTCTTTTACTTGTTGGTTTAATATTTTCATTTAACTACGTTTTTGGATCTTCTGGTACCCATTTGATTGTTAATTAATACGCTAACCGACTGAACTTGCCAACGCTTCTGTGGCCGCCACTACTGCTAGCAGTTCTTCCGTTAACACCAACGAAATGGCACAGCCCTTGGTCTATCAGCTCCTTCTTTTACCAACGGTTTATGGAACTCCCTGCCTGGACGGGCGTGGATTGTTGCCCAGCAATGCTCACAGTAATACTGCAAACAACAAACGTTTCATCATTATTTTAGATACCATATATCTACTACTAAATAGTAGCTTTGATTCAAACCGCAACCACAATGCTTAACAGGATGTCTTATCAAAGGAATTGCATCAAATTTGGTGGAATTTTATAAATTTTCCCTAACAAATTTGATTATATCGTCTTTGAAATTAACCAAACCTAAGATATTTGATGTATTTGATTTGACAATTTTTCATTTAACCAAAAAGTTACGATGTAAAGAAAATCTTGTCCAAGATATTTTCAAAAACTACTTAAGACATTTTCTCCATGTTTTAACCTTAAGGAAGACTTCAGAGCAATAGTAGAACATGGACATTATCTTTTACTTGAAAAAGGTCAACTTTGGTGATATGTTAAACAAATATTAGAATCATTCCCCAACACCAAAACAAAACAAAACACAGAGTGCTTGAAGTACTTTTCGCCAACGATGTTGGCAAAGTGTACACTTCGCCCATAAACCTATATTTAAATTAACACAAGTAATTATATAATCTCGATTTTAAAAATAACAGAAAACAATAACACGCACCACGAGAACAAAGTAAACTGAATACATCGGCAACGTGCTGACGGGCATCTTACTATTTCGCAGGATTATGAACGCTTCTGAAGATGCCAACATTGGCGAAAAGTACTTCAATCGCGTTGAAAGAGATAGGATGACTAAAGTAAAACTTCATACCTGTAAACAAGTGACGTTAGCGCAGAAGAATGGAGCAAACTTTCCTCCGCATCTCTGTCCCTGGCATTCATCGCACATTTGGTCGTCGAGAACGTAAGGTTTGACCTCTACGCGTTTATCAATGTCGCCGTGCTGCAACTGGACGAATCGAGCGCTTATGGCCGCTATATAGCTCTGCTGGTTACTGAAAGCGACCCTTCCGGCTCCTTTGGGATACTTCAGCTCTGGATCTGTATCGATTCCGGCGTAGCAAACGCCGCCGTAGAGTCGGTCCATTATCATTGCCAGTTCGACTGAAGCGAAACGGTTAGTGGTGCTTGAATGATATAATGTTGGTCGTTATCTTACCTGCTTTCAATGGTCTTGGTACTCCCCCAACAAAAACAGTTTTCCTGGGATCCAGGGGCATGGATGCGTCCAAAACGAAGTCGGCATCCGACAATCTCCATGGTCGTATCTGGACAGGTTTGTCTTTGATTGTAGGCGACGATACGCATAGATAAAGCTTGTCCTCGTCTGTTATGCATGCGTCAATTAGGCTCTGCACTGAATTTTCATCCTTCAAAAACAACATTATAAGTACCCCACACACCGAAGTTTATCTAGCGAAATACCTGGAACAGCAGGAATGCGTAACCTTTCGGTGGAAAATACGATTTGCTTTCCGCCTTGTGAGGCCAGTCCACTACCAATGGTCCAAAACGTCTGAAGCTAGCGGTTATCTCGTCTTCATCGATGTCAGGTGGCAGACCGCCAACGAACACTTTCCTCGAAAATCTCTCGCCACCTTCAGAACCTTGAGAATGAGGGGATGACCTCGAAGGTGAGCTGAGAGGCTGATTGCCACCGGTTAATACCGTTTCCACCAAAGATGGCTCCTCCAAAAGAACAGGTCCGGCCTGGTCGTCCAAGCCAGGAAAATATTTGCCTGAAAACGAGGAAAAGTTCTTTGCAATGTATGTAGTTACTGGTAATAGCATTCGATTTTTGGCTTAGGATGGATGGTTTGAACATTAGTAACTATAGGTTTTAACATAAAAAATCACTTTTAAGGAAAGAGCTTGCCCCCAAGTTTCTGCGATTCAACTATCATAGACTTTTTAGGCGTCCTGGTATCGATCAATGTCATTTAGAATCAAAACATAGTAACTACAGATCTACACACGAGTCTAGGACCTATCGGCACAGCATAGAAAGACCAGTCACTCGCGCTATTTATGAATGAAATGGTGTCTGCTAATAAAATAGCTATGACTGTATAGAAACGATCCGAGATCCTATTAGAAGCTCGTATGCGTTGAAAAAGATTGCTGGACTGTCTATACTGTTTTTTCTATACTGTGGGGGAAGCGGTATTTATTAAAAAGTGTATAAAAATGAAATTATCTAATGTTTCTAAAGAGGTGAAACAGCAAGGATTTAGACCAAGGCCTTGCGAAGATTATTAAAAATCAATGTTTTGTTATTTTTATTAATTAGCATTACCATTTGACGTACATTATGAAATATTTACCAACAGCACATAATTTAAAATGTAAACAATTCGATTATTATATTTAATGGCCTTTATTAATTCATTTATTGTTTTGAAACATGATGGAGAATTCATAATAAATTCGCATGTGTTTAATCAAAGAAAATCGATGGGTTAAATTTAGAACAACACCCCTAACTAATTCTGGGTCAAACTTTGCCCCATATTTTTTCAATTGTTAATGCGTTTGTTTAAAGTGCAAAACAAAGCTTTATGCTGCCGTTCAAAAAGATAATAAATAATTTGTATATTTATATAATGTGGTCAAAATGTACGCGTGCGCGTTTTTACCACATCTACCCCAATTTTCGGGTTCCACGTGGAGCAGAGTGCATCGACCCTTTTCGAATGTGTTTTCCTTTAGAGTTTCCGCAACGTTGCCAAGTTTTTGCCCGTGATTTATAACAGCACTTGCTCCAGTTTTGTCAATAATTTTAATACGGGCCAAATCGCATTTTCCGTACCAAAAATGTGAAACAACCTTTAAACAACAATATTTTCTTACCGTGTAACTGCAATGATTGAAATTGTTGTGGATTGCAGCTTATGAACCCTGAAATAAAAATTACATTATCATCATTTTTTTTGCAAGTTAAAATATATTTATATACCTTCATAAGCATTATAAATATTTCGAAATTATAAACATTACTACTATAAATATTTTGGGACACATTTTTATTTTTGGTTTACTTGTTTTGTAATGTAAATATAATAAATATTATTATAAACAAAGTGATAACTTTTAAGTCAATATGATAAAGTATGGTAGGTACTAGTTTAACCAAGGTTACATGTCCTATCATATATTTATAAAATTTTCAAAAATATTTAAATCGTCATTCCGGTAACGCGAACTGTTAATTTTTCGGAGCCATAGACATACAATCGGTTTCCGGTACATAAATTTTCGAAAATATTCCAATAATAAATAAAACATTGCATATACATTTTATAATAATACGTACTTCTAATACATTTAATAATACAACTTTTTACTTTGTTACCGAAATGACGGTTTTTCTTTGGTGATAAAAAATCGTCATGTCGGTGTTAATTGCAAAATTTCCACCTTTATATAGGTGAGAAAATTCAGTTGACTATTGATTGCATTAGGAGTATGGTAGAGTACGCATGCCCAAGCACGATTCCTCCATTTTTTTTTCTGTTCCCCCATGATGAAAGAACCAAAAACGAAGGAAAGACAAAAAAATTATTAATTTTAATTGCATAGTTTTGTAATGATTTTAAACAATTGAGATTGTTTGTAGAGATATTCTTTTATTTATGTTGATCAGATAATAATTTAAATAATTAACATTAATAATGTTTTTATGTTTTTATTTCACCCTGAAAAATGTGGACATATGTTTACCACCTTCAAAATATAATAATCTTGTTTTAAATTATGACAATTTTTATGTCATCAATAAATTCGACACGAGATAAAAATGAGAAGACGTTATCAATTAATTTGCCATATCCGTTTATACCACGTGTTTTGAACAAAATTATATTTGTGATTGACTATTAAATATGTTTGTCATGTGTACTGCACCCCCACATAGTTTAAAAACATATGGTTTTAAGTTACGAAACTAAAAAGAACGGGGTTGAGTGATATTATATTACATACCCCCTCTAAAACAGATTTTACTTACAAGTAAAAAATATTTATTTATTTCTGCGATATTTGTCATTGTTTTGAATAAAATAAAAACAACTTAGCTATTGCGAAAACTTGTATAATAAAACAAAATTTTGGCAAATTTTATTCAATCAATTTAAGTTTAGTTTCGACATAACTACCTAAGCTAAAACAAGAATATGTAAATGATTTGTGTTATGAGATTTCTTACATAATTCAAGTATACTATAACTTAGATATAGTAACAAACTAGTTTTTTTTTAATTAGGTTATTCACACAAATATGTCAAAATAAAAATACACAATTGTATACCTATTTCACAAATCGGCAAAAAATTTGAATAAATTAATAATAAAATTAAAGCTTCAATGATTTTGAGTGGTTTACCGGGATAGTCTTTTTTTTAATAAAATTTGTCAAGCATTCATTTACTGGTTTCTAAATTTTGTTGTAATTGATTATGTCAACAAATGTATTTCAAAACGCGATGACGTCAAAATACCTAAAGTAGCACATTTAACAATAAACTATTTGTGGTAATTGTTTAATTTAATTTATACCGCGTGGCCAATTTCAATATTGTACATACGTGGTCGATTGCCCACACACACCACCAAATATTTGTTGCAATTATTGAAAAAAATATAGCTGCATATGAAGAGCAATGCCCTTGACGGAAATGCTGTGCCAGAACAGGAAGCGCTACTTTACAATAATTTGCCTACTTTAATACTCGATTTAAATGTGACAAGAATATTTCAGTGCGCTATGTTCCTGTTAATTGTAATTTTGTTCAGGTTGTTTCCCACGAAACTAGCCAAACCTGCTCGTTATCAGCCTGGAGATACGTTATCTACTATTTGTTTAAAATATACATCAGGTTATTTAAAAAAAATACCTCAACATGTCGAAAAAATCGTTATGTAAGCATCTAATTAAAAATTGGGTTACTATTTTGTGTGATAATAATAATAATAACAGTCACGTGCACACAATAAACTAAAATTGATATATTGCGCAGAAATAAACCGAGCACGTGATTGTACATAAAACCCAAACCGAATTAAAATGCATCATGTGGGAAACGCAATTATATAATGGCATTAAAAATAAATCTAACCTTTATTTATCGAGTGCAGCCCCCATTGGGTCGCGGGGGCGGAGGCGGCGTCTACGGGGGATGTGCCGTAAGCCCTGAACATCGCGTCAACTTTCGGCACTAGTCCCAGACGAAGTAAAATTCGGCAAATCGCAATCGCCAACTTAAACCATCGCACTTTCCATCAGCTTGCGAATGCACTCGTTTGACGTTTGTCTACGCACAACACTGACATGGGTTTACGACCATACGGTCGTCTATAATCAGAGTCGACTCTATAAACTCGCGTAGGTGCCCGAGCGCGAGCCGTAGCCAAACGAACGTCGACCTAGCTGAAAATCAGTACGCGATGCGAGGTTGCCGCTAGTAATTTCTTCCTGCTACCCTTACAATTTTGCAGGACCTACCCATTTCGCATCTTTTTAGGTTTTATTAAATTTCGCACATTTGCAAAAATGGCGAATGCGCCTCGATAGACTTTTGCACAGTGCTGATGATGACTATTTTTGTTTTTTCGCTCCCAACTCAAAATCTTGTTGAAATGTTCAAAAAAAAAATTCCCCGAAAATTTGAGCCCTTAATATTAACTCAAAGTACTCGACCAAAGCGTATAAAGATTTCCCATTTAAAATACACGTAAACTTTGATTTTTTTTTTTAAATATCTATATCTCAGCCGCATTTTATGCTATTGGATTGTTTCAAAAAAGGATTTACTCGTAATCAAAAGTTCTACAAAAATGCTTTATGTGCCATAGCTGTAATCTGCACATGTAGGATGGTACGGGTCACTAAATCTTATTTTAGTGAAAAATTATCATATTTTTGAAGATATTTCAAAAGTGACTGGATTCTTTGAAAGAATGTAAACAAACTTGTAGAATTTTTTTTTAAAGGTCCTATCAGTTGAATCGCTAAGATTGATATTTCTTGAGATATAAAGCGTTTACATTGACAATTTATGAAATTTTTAGGATTTTAAAGAAAATTAAATTTTCTACAAGTTTGTTCATTACATTTTTACAAAGAATTCAGTCACTTTTAAAATATCTTCAAAAATATGAGAATTTTTCCCGTACCATCCTACAGGTGCAGATTACAGCTATGACACATAAAGCATTTTTGTAGAACTTTTGATTACGAGTAAATCCTTTTTTGAAACAATCCAATAGCATAAAATGCGGCTGAGATATAGATATTTAAAAAAAAAAACAAAGTTTACGTGTTTTTTAAATGGGAAATCTCTATACGCTTTAGTAGAGTACTTTGAGTTAATATTAAGGGCTCAAATTTATGTAATATAATATTCTTAAATTATATACAGTTCATTTTTTTTTATCTGGACTATTTTGTTAGGTTGGTGACTTAGAATTTTTAGTATTTAAAAATGGTACTTCTGCTAAAGAATTTAATTAAATACTTTGACACTGTCAAATTTACAATAACATTTATTATTGATAATTTACTTGTCAATTATAAATAAAAAGATAATTATGCCAAAAATAATAGCAACGAATTCGTGTAAAAGTCCTTTTGAGGGCAAAACTTCATTTTGATGAAATTATGCTAAATGCCACAATGGAAGAAAAAGTACATCGCCTTATGGACATTTTTGGAGTAAAATAGTTTTATAAATATTACATCACACATTATTTTCACATTATTCATTAGACAACATTTACGTTCACAAAAATTTTTAATTTCTTTTATATAAATTCTTTTCAAAGCGAGGAATACTTTCTCTTCTGGGCCGTAAAGCAACCTATATTTAACTATTTTTTGTATATGATTTTACTCATCCAAGCACCACCAAAGCCAAATTAATTGCATTTTTAACTACGAATTTCGACAACTGCACAATGCAACCTACAATAATTTATACATAACCACAATTAGATTTATAACTAGCTTAGTTTGTTTAAATCAATGCGACCAACTTGACAACTGTATTTACCAACCAAAACCCTAAATTTGCAACGTTGCCGCAGTCCAGATAAAAAAAATGAACTTTAGATTGCAAAAGTGATCAATGCAGTGGTGGAAACCTTAATATATTAATTGTATTGTTGAAAAAGTGCAAATTTGCAAAAATGGCGAATGCTCCTTGATTGATTTTTGCACAGTGTTGATATATTATTCTTATGTTATATATTATTTTATGATGTCATTTTTAAAAAAGATTGCAAAAGGTGCAGTGGTAAAAACCTTAATATTTTAAATGTATTGTTATAAAAAATTGCAAATTTGCAAAAATGGCGAATGCACTGGGATTTTAAAAATTGATTTTTTATTCTGGTAATATCCACTGTCTTCATAACATACTGTTTTTCATTGTAATTTTTTAAGATAGATTGTACTATTATGTAAAAATGTTAAACTCCTTCTGGATAGTAAAAATGTTTTTTTATGCTTTTTATTAATTTTTGTGTTCATTATACTGTGAAATTCTATATTGCGCCGATTTTTTTATATACTGTTTAATGCATAACCTTAAAAAATATTAAATTTTCCCAAAAAAATAGTATACTTATTAGGTTACGCGTTTTATTAGGCACGAGCGAAGCTTGCGAGCGAGTGTTTAATAAAAACGAGTGTCAAGAGAAGTTTATAAAACGAGTTGCATACTATACTTTATCTACGACGAACAAAAATAAAAATTTGAGGCCAATTTTAATTCATAAATATTTGACATTTGACGAATTTAACCTCACTTTTTCGCAATTTATAATAAAGCTAACTTCAGCCCGTGACTAAAACGCCATAAAGTCACAGCTTGTCAATGTAGAAGTGGAGAATAGTATATTAT